ACTGATATGAAGGGATCAAACGTTTAAATATAAATTACACAAGAAAAGGATTAAAAGTCCAAAATTTCTGTGATCTACTATTTGTAGTAAGTTATCAACATATTCTCACAAGATAAAAGAAAAACTTGATCAACGCAGCAGAAATAAAGTTCATTGCAATATCCAGTACAAAGTATTCTTTGATTTAGTTGTTTTGGGACGAAGTTAATAGCATAAAAGAAGCATGCATATTTTCTTGCAACAAAGACTAACCTGTGGAATGTCTTATGTGCCACAGCTTTGGTACCATCAAAAACACAGCCTGCAAAATGCCCACCTCTTGCAAGCAACACAATCCTCAAACGGGTATTATCCCTTGGTTCATGGATCAGATATTTCAACTTCTTAGTGAATTCATTTTCTGTCAAACAAATCCTATTCCTGATATCATCTGCAGCAAGCGCCTTCTTGTTCTCAAACAAAATGCTCTCTGACTCATTCAGGAGTAAACCCTTCCATAGTGAAAGGATCTCCCCATTATGCAATTTTAAAAATATTTTGTTCTTGATATCTCCAACTATTCTTCGCTGCAAATCATTGGACTGACCAGATTCTTTCTCATCTTCGTCATCTGATCCAGAAATACTTGATAAATCATAATCCTTACATAGGGAATCAGATGTCATCTCATCAAAGTCTTCTTCCTTAATAGTGTCTCTCCCAGAAATGCTTAGCTTTATCTGATATCAGTACTGACGAGATATTACTATAACTACTATATGAACAGCCAGTATAATGCGATCAGCACCTTCAGGAACAAAAATAATAGAAAACTGGAAAAGATATTTTCATTTTGGGGGGCAGGATGAAGAGGAGGGGCTGCAGGTTGAAAACTTAAGAGGCAGAGTAACCAAGTGATAATTTTCAGAAACACAACCTACTTTGAATTGCTTCTATAAGGAAGGTCTAAAAGAAGAATCTAAAGATGTTTACTAGAGATGATTTCAGATAGCAATGTCCTGCCACCTTCAAAATATTATATTAGATTAAGTATTATTAAGACAAAATATTCTTTTGCTGAACACATTTGAGACCAATTCACGTAACCGCAACTCCTAAACTCTACTAGTGATATGTTATCAGCCTATTTTAGCTTATTTTACAAGCAAAGAGCAACAAGTATTGGGATATTATCTAAAAGTTGCTAGTTCCAAAGGGCTAACCTTACCTATATGAATACTCGTTTAACTGAAGTACTAGACAAAAATATCTAAAGAAAATGATTTTGCTTTCTGTCTTGTGAATACATCTCCAAATTTCTTTCTTTAGATACCACTAACTGATGTTAGTGGTTATCAGAAAAGAAGAAAATAAATAAATTTGAACATAAAAGGAAAAACAAGTACCGTTGACTACTAGCAATAAGTTGAGCTTAACCCAACAAAAGAAAAGATCTTTTGAGTCCGATTATAAAGATCAAAACCATAATTTTCACAAGTTATCAGCCTGATGGACGGCAAGGTGCTATTCGTAGCAATTGCCAACTTCAAGAACTATAGTAACTTTTTATTTTATCTTTCACTTACAAAATCCTCGCCCTTAATAGTGTGTCCTAAGAAGGACAGATTAAAAATCAACCAATTATGCCTCAATCCCAAATCAGTTGGAATCAGCTATTGAATCCTCTATTATCCATTATGTTCTGTGCAGGTCAAGCTCGTAAATTTTATGGAATAACATAATCAGGGAAAAAAGAGAGGGGAGAAGAATAGTACATTTAGTCGATGAATATCGGATTTGAAGTGAGAACGCTGGTCATGGAGAGACTCAAACTCGGCCTTACAAGTATTGCAAGACCACCTTTGTTTGGGGTTATTCCTACTACTCAAACTCTCCGTATTCTCCACTTCCTTTTTGGATTCGTCATCAATGTCTACGTCGTCTAGGGTTTTGACTGAGAGACTTTCGAGTGGTTCGACTATGGAGAGTGGCGAAGCTGACGGAGATTGGAGAAGGCGGCAGGAATCAAAGAAGTTCGCTGGTAATTCGAAGATCGAACGGTGCTTTTTTTCGTCGATTTGTTGCTTCAATTGATGGCGGCGGTTGTATGTATTGGTGGCGGCGGTAGAAGTAGAAGCCTCCATCTCCATCTTGTCAACGGTGATTAATCCTACGATTCTAATCGAACAAACACTAATAATAGTTCGCAGTTTGAAAATAGGGGAAATAGCCCTTTTTATAAAGAGGGTATACTGGGTCTAAATAACAAAATTTAAGGGCAAATCAGGTTCTTTTTTCTTTATTTTATACGAGATATTGTTGTTGTTGTTATTTAATATTTTAATGTCATTACGACACTTATCTCATGTTTTGTAAAAAATTTAAAAGATGTTTTAGATAATTATATTTTGATTGGATTAAAGAAATATTAAAAGTATAAATTAAAGATAATATGTTTGTGTGAATATTTAACAGAAAAAAATCCAAAGGTCCAAAAAAATTGAGGTGTATTAATTTGTATTGGTTTAAAAATTTATAAGTTCAATACAAATGATTTGGTTTAATATTCGAAAAATTTGAACCAATCCAAAAATATCTAAGGTTGAAAACCTCAAGTTTTATTAGTTTGGTTTAGTTTAATTTGTCATTTGAAATCTTGAACCAATCCACTTTTATACATCCTTATGCCCTACTTATGGTTAGTTTTAAGAGTTTTTAAAACTTATAGATATAAATCACATTTCTTCATAAACTGAAACATATTTTTCAAATACTATAGGCAACCCACATGGTGAAATTTCATCGAGATTTTCACTCACATAATATTTATCAAAATATTTAAAAACCAAACACAAGCTTAACTCTTTGATCAAAACTTCGCAATTTCAAACACCATTTGGATAACTTGGTATAATATGCTTAGGAGCGTACATGATTCAGATTGTCAAATATCAGACGAAACTATTTGTGTCTAATTTTTAAATTTATAAATCAAATCAAATCAATAAAATTGAATTTTTCAATCTCAAGTTTTTTCGGGATTTTGAATTTGTCCTATAAAATATTTATACAAATATATACTTGAAATATTTCTTTAGTCTTAACAAAATACAACTATCCAGGGTACCTTTTAAAGAAAATAATTAATGACACGACAGAATTCAAAAAATAATAATATTGAAATCGCATAAAACAAATACTACAAATTAACAAGTCATAATGAAGATGATCACAATTTTAAAGTATTAAATCATGCTGAAATAAGTTTAACAAGTATTAGTTACAAGATTAAATATTGAAGAAAATTAAAATTATATTATATATTTTAATTGTCTAAACCAATGTGAAATCAAATGATAAATATTCAATATTATTGTCACTTTTAGTGTTAAATTGAATTTCTTTTTGAGTTAGCATTAATTTAATTTTATTCAAAATTTTAATATTCAAACTTCGAATAATATATTAAAAGATAAAATTTATAAAAAAATATATATAAGAAATATTAAAAATTATATAAAATGTAATTTTAAAATTATATATATAATGATGAGTTCATTTAGACTATTAAAATCAATCCAATCAAAATATAGTCAAATTTTTTTAGCACTAAATCAAATTAAATCAACTACTAATCAAATTTCTTTTCTGATTTGATTTAATTTACAATTTGATTTGATTTTATCAATTCATATATTTACTTATTTTTTAATTTTAAATTTTTCAAACTGAAAATTATAGCACCGACACTAACGATTGTTGAACCATTTTAATTGAGTCTGCATTTATTAGATAAAAATAAAATATTATTAAAAATTACTAGTCACTTATTAAATTGAATTTTCTCATATTTATGTTTTTGGTGATAGTATTACTGTAGTGATCATACGATTTTGGTGAACAAAGTCACGAGTACGTGACCATTCATGTAAATTTACTTCAAATTAAGTAGCGGGCAAAATAAAAATTAGAAAAAAAATACTAATTGCTACTTGCTTAGCTAACATAGCTATAATTTGAATTAATTATGGTTCACAACAATTTTAGTTATTAATTATGTCATTTTTCTCCTCTCTGGCCTCTCGCCTCTTTAATGTGTATACAAATAAACATTATAAATATACATATAGAAGTATATGACACATATACAAATACAATTAATCTCTCTCCATTTTATGTCATTTCTTGCTCGCCTCTCTCCTCCTTCTTCTATTCTCGCACGTCTATATCCTCCATTTCCTCAACTCGCTCGCCAGATATACAAATACGGATGTATACAAGTTACACATATAGTACATACAATAATCTTACAGATAAAATATACAATTCATCTCTGTCCACTCTTTACACTCTCTCGCTCGCCTCTCTCCTCCCTCTTCTAATTTCGCTCACCTCTCAATCTCGCTCGTTAGATATACAAATAAATATGCACATCAGTTAAATAAATACAATTATAAATACAATTATTTGAGAGATATACATATACAATTCACTTCTCTCCACTCTTTATTCTCTCGCGCTCGCCTCTCCTCCCTCTCGCAATCTCCTTGACCTCTCTCCTCCCGCCACATGCAGCTACGAAATTGTAATCAGTAAACCATAAATACAAAACATAATTAAATTACTTTTTAGTGACCGTAAGTGAAAATATCAAACAAAAAATAGTCCATTTATGTATTTGTTGGTACAAATAGTGAAATGATCATTTATTTCCACTTGCGCGAAATAAACATGTCGGTAGAAAATCACTTACACAAATCTTAAATACAAAATAAAAATTTCTTATTCAATATTTACTTATTACTTTTAATTTGTTATAAAATCAAGCTCATAAAAATATAATTATAAAGAGGTGAAGACAAGAGAAGTAGATAGAAGAAGAGAAATTTTATTCTTATTCAACTGTATGTAAGTCTCATTTGTATGTTATACTATAGTGAATGAACAATCATATTTATAGAGCGAGAAAACACTCCAAAAGTCACCATATTAAGTATCATAATAAATAATTACATTCTTACCCAAAATGGTTCATGAATCTAGTGATATTTCAAGATAATTTTGATTTATATAATTTAACTGAAAATCAAAATATGACAAAGTAAGAATTAAGAGAGGAGATAAATTAATACTGTGATACTGTTTAGCCACTTTCTCTTCCATCCACAGAATGGAATCAGAAGGGCTTTGCACATTAGAAAAGAGAGGCAATATCTTCCTCCTAATTTTAACCGGCACCGGTGACCACCGTTTACATCCCAACCTTATCGACTCCATCTCTGCCGCTCTCCGCCGCGTCAGATCCGACTCTACTTCCTCTTCCTCCGCTCTGATTACCACAGCCCAAGGCAAATACTTCTCCAATGGTTACGATCTTAAGTGGGCCTTAGTGGACAACGCCCGCCAAAAACTCATGTCCAGAAAACTCCGATGTCTCGTTTCCGACCTAATAACCCTACCTATGCCAACAATCGCCGCCGTCACCGGTCACGCTTCCGCTGCCGGCTTCGTTTTCGCGCTTTGCCATGACTACATCTTGATGCGCAAAGATCGAGGGTTTCTCTACATGAGCGAGCTGGATATTGGGTTTCCGATACCGACTTGGTTTTCGGCTTTAGTGAAGTGCAGAATGGGATCGCCAGCGGTCCGGCGTGAGGTGGTGATGAAGGCTGCTAAAGTAACGGCTGAGATGGGAGTCGAAATGGGTTTTGTGGATTCGGCTCATAGTGGAGCGGAAGAAACTGTGGAGGCAGCAATTAAGTTGAGTGAAGAATTGGTGAGCAGAAATTGGGATGGAAAAACGTACGCTGCATGTAGAAAAACACTGTTTGTGGAGCTACTGAATTCGCTTGGTTCTGATGAGACTGTGGGAGATTATGGGGACGAGGATGCAAACAAAACACTAGCCAAGCTGTAAGTAGTATCTCATGGATTATATTATACGAACTTTTAAAAAATATTATCGCAGAGCGTTCGATTCTTCGAAAACGGCTCCACAACGAAGGAATAGAAATGCTGGTTTCCTTCGATCAATTTGCTTGTGTCTCTTTCCGTCTTAGTAATATTTGTGCGCTTTTACTTGTATTAGTATGGTATCACTGAATTATGAGTATTATTTATATAATATAAAATGTACTAAAATGTTTATCCTTTTATCTAATGTCAATTATTATCTAATGTAGTACGGTTGGAACACGTTCATGTGTGGAGTGTTAAAATTGATGGCCGAAATAGGTTATAATAAGAGAAATGAAATTATAACAATAGGATCGAAATGATGACATAAATTTATTGGGTAACTATATAAGAAGAATTGGAATTATGGTATCATCTAATTGGAAAATGAAAATTATATATATACAAGGTAGGATCGAAATAATAACATAATTCTATACAGATTAAATTTAAGCAATTACTAAAAAATGAAACAAATTATTTTTTCATATCTCAATTATATAGTAATGTATATCTTTGCAGTAACTTCTCATATTTGAATTACTTAATTTCATTAGTTTTTGTAATGACACATCGAAGGATTATTGCTATCATTCCAATCCTAGGAATGTCGTACACATATTATGTCAAATTTAAAGGTGGAGAAATCCACTCAATCTTGTCTAATTAATCCAACTTGTGGGTACTTTTACGTGTAGGATAGGAATTAGGATTGTGACTTATTTATTAAGTTAATCAATGAATTAAATTGACAATGACACATCAATCTATTGGATTAAATAACGATTAAATTAAGAAAAATAATCTAATCTTTTCAAACATTTCTTTTATATTCACAATTTCTCCTTATAATTAAAAGTAATTATATATTATCATACTAACTAATAATTTCATATAAAATTTAAAATTAGATATATCTAGATACATATTTTGTTATTAGATACGTTGAAATAGAGAGAAAGAGGTGAGCAAGATCTGTCTATATATTCCAAATAAATGTGAATCACAGTAAATACATATATTTGATACTAAATGTATGTATTCGGGGTAAGAAATATAGTAGCGAGATTTATCTGCGTATTTTAATTACATGTAAGTCCACATACTATTTTGTTTTTAAAACATATTACACATAATTTTGATTCTTTTTTTTTATATATACATGTATCTAGATGAACAAGATCCATCTAACTTTGACTTAATGCATTAAAGAAAAATATGTATTTGGATGCATTAGATACATATATTCAAAGTAAAATTTAATAAAATTTTGTAATTTTGCAAACTATAGTATTTCAAAGTAATTAGCTTGTTAACTTGTGAAATTTCTATTAAGTTACAAATACAAATATAGCAATTTGATGAGTTAAAACGTAACCTAGACCAAATGAATAAAAAGATATTACTATTTCATTTGGCATTTATTTATCATATTTTGAATTGATTTGACATAAAATATTTTTTTTTTTTAAAAATTAAATGTGTGATATGTCAAATCACATATGTATTAGAATGAATGTTAATCCTTTATCAAAAGAAAGAGATACTTTTAAAAAAAAACACACACAAGGAAATTTCGAGGATAAGCAAATTGAAATAGAAAAGGCTTAAAGAGAAGAAATTGTTTCTTTGAAATCCAATAAAACAATATTGAACTTGTGGGAATCAATACGTGTAAAAACAATATAACCTTTAATTAGTTGATGCGCTTTAGGACAGTTTAACCATAAATTTTTCAAATAATATTGAAAAATTTGATAAATAATATTTGTCTATACTAATTGTTATTGTTTGGTAAATATTTTTGACAAATATTTCAAATTCATAAATACTAATTTTTTTTAGTATTTGAGCCTAATATCATTATTTGGAATTTTTGAAAATTGAAATTTTACCTCAAATTTTTTATCTTTTATAATAACACCCTATATAATAGTTGTTTGCGTGATATTACATATTTTTTACGTGAACATCAAAATAGTGATTAAATATTCAGTGAATATTAAATGATGATATGGTTGTTGATAAAAATGATGAATAATTGGTTCAGGGTAATAAAGTCACGTGCTTTATCTACTTCACGATGTATGGAATGATGCTTACTATTTGTTATTGTTGCAACGAAGATCCAATTGACTTGTAAAAACTTAGGTGAGTTCTGATAGTTTTTGAAACTTATGAGTATAAATCATATTTTTTCTAAAAAAGTAAAATATGTTTCTCAAATATTATGGCCAAACACATGGTGAAATTTTACCTGAATTTTCACCCAAATAATATATGTCAAAAATATTTAGAAATCTATGACCAAACGCTAGCTTAGAATGTCCACGAAATAGTTTTTTGTTTTAAAAAAAAAAAAAGTTAGCTCCACTTTACACATTTATCAAATTATTAGATTATGTTTATTTAGAAAATTACAACAATCCTACATATTGAGATTGTATTGTGGAATAAAAGAGTGTTACCAGAAAAGAAAATAAATGTAAATCTCCAACTTATTATTATTTTGTGGAAGAAGGGTGTTTATTGTGGTGAAGCTTTAAATTCGACGATTAATTTGTGAAATTTATCAATTATATATTATTGTTTGACTATTACATTTTTAACAGAGTTAGATCAAGAACACTATTATTTCATCACTGAAAATCATGAATCTCCCTAAAAATAACAAGATATTAACTTGAAAAATGACATTATCATTCATTTATTTTTGACGGGAAGTATATTTTCACAAACAATTAGGCTACAATTTTAATGTTAGCATGCTATTGAGTCGATCTATTCATAGTAAAGCAGCTTAATTATGAATTCTTATACATCAACACTTGAGTGAATTGAAGTCAAGTTGTTGTATTATTACATAGTTCTGATTTCTTTTGCTAGAAAACAGTTAAGTAAATTCAAGAAGACAAGTTATTGCACGTCACTTCAAATACAAGAGCTTTGTGGGTGGAGCAATGAATGAACAAGCAATGGTTAAAGCATGTCCACTTCTTTTCAACTTTCTTCACTAAGACCATAATGGTCCCTTTGATGATATTTTGATAAAATAGTTAAGAGTTCAACACTTAACTTTTTTACCTTCCTACCTCAATTATTCACTCTAACTCACATTTCAAGTATCAATTTTGATATTAAATCTAAAATTTGACTTCTAATTTTTTATCGAGATCCGATTCTTCACCTCGATTTGAGACTCAACTCTCGAATTTTATGTTTACTCATTTTTCTATTTTATGACAAGGAAAACCTGTTGCTACAATCATTTGAGTGCGCACATGGTGAAATCTCCGGTCCTATCCAATAGCTCGCAAATCATATAGGAGATGTAACCCACACTAAGCAAGTCTGGTGCAACGAGCTAGACCCAGAAGGGCAAATCCATTTCTTTCGTTGGCAAGGAATTTTAAACTTCAGACCTCTAACATGAAAGTCTCAAGCTCAAACTACTAGGCTATCCCGAAGGATTACGTTTACTCATATTAAATCCACTCAAATTTAATCCAACGCACCTGATTACCACTATTAAATCTCAACTAACATCCCTACTCTCCAATTTTTAGCCCAACACAAATTGATAACTTTCATCTAATTCAACAAACATAAAATTTGTAAGGTAAAGATAAGTGTGTGATAATTTATCTTATGACAATCTCTATCTACTTGCTCACTCAATAAAAACAGGAGGTAAGCCAAGTTTAGAAACACCATCAGTGAAGTACACTCAACAAAACTTTAGAAGGTTCTGGAAATCACAACCTTCTATAGTTTTTTAACTTTTGTTTATAAAAGAGTTTAGTTAACGCCAACTAACAAAATACAAATGCTCTTTCACATATTCGGCATCTATTCACCACATATAAAAAGGCAAATAGCCATCACAAAGTGGGCCCAATTATCTTCATTTGCTTCGCTGTACACTCACCGACACTACCCACCAATTACAACACTCCTTTACTGTGATATGCGTAACATCTGATAATAACTCAACAAGTGGAACATTATTATACACCAAAAATAAGACAAAGGATTTAAAATAAAAACAAAGTACAGCAACAGAACAAAAGAAAAGAAAAGAAAAAACAGTGCCCTTTACTCAGATAAACGGCTCACTCACTATTAAAGGACATTTAAAAATTAAATGAAATTAAATAAAAATCGTCTCTACAAGCAAGTCACAAATAAAAATATGACTCCAAAAACCCAAATTTAATTAAACAAACGGAAAATGGCGGTTTAGGACAAATAAACGGACACAATTACCGAAACTGACACTGTGAGTAGAGCTTTCAGTAGCGCCGGAGTGTTAACGTTACCGGCGTTCTTCTTCGCCGTACTGTTCTCCGAATCTGCAGTGGGACTATCCGCCGGAGAACCAGCTGGAGATGAAGTCGGTGGAGCAGGAGGAGACATCATTGGAGTAGGAGAGCTGGCTTCCGGAGCAGGGGCTGGTGCTGGTGTTGGAGAAGTCTCCGGAGCTGGTCCTGGTGCTGGGGATGGAGCTTTTCCGTACAATTCCACAGGTAGAAGCACACTGTCGACGGTGAAAATGCAGAAGGGAGTAGAGTCAATGACTGTGGAAGCGATTCTGGACGAATCGACACCTGTGTCAAGTGTCACCTGGTCACCTTCTGTTGAAACTGCCAGATCATACTTGCTAGCGCCATTAGTAGCTAGAGTTGAAATCGGATCCTTCGTCGTTTTCAAGGTTCCAATAGGAGTGTAACTCGGAATAGCATGGTACTGCAACAACGAAACAACATCAGCGCTACTGAGATCGCTCAGATCTGGAACTTTAGCTCCCTTAAACGCCTCATCATTTGGGGCAAAAATAGTCAAACCCTTCTCAATAGCAGTTTGATACGTCTTGAGAACTCCAGATTTGACAAGTAATGAAGCAAATGTTTTACACCCAGCTTTCTCCAATGCACCAGTAATATTAAAATCACCAGATGGCGCCGGTGCCGTCAAAATACCCGGAGCAATAATCGGAGCACTAACTTCCAACACAGAGATATTATACTGGATTTGCTTCACAGATTTAGTATATGTAGACGCCAATGGTGAGTTCGGAATAGCTGAACCAAAACCTACTTTACCACCTTTAAGATCGGTAATGTTAACAGAACCTATGTTTCCATGAGCATTGCCGGTAGTTTGGTAAAGAGTAGTGGAAGTCGTAGTACCGTCGGAGATCTTATGAAGTTTAGTACCGTCAAAGTAATCAAGCAAAACATGAAGAGAGAGGACATTTTTGATGACGGAAAGTGGATGTTTGTCGACTATAGCAGACATAGCTCCATTAGGCAAAGCTAAAACGGTAATAGTTTCACGGCTGTTAATCTCGTCGGCGAGTTTAGTTTGTGAGAGATAACTGTTGAATACACTGTACTCCGGGAACTTGTTCAAAATTTCAGTGATGTTGTGTGCATGAACGGAAACGGTAAGGAGAGTGAAGAGGAAGAAGTGTAGGGTAGTCATGGTGTATGTTAGCAAAGAGAGAAGTGAAGGATAATAAAGAAGCGTGGTATTAAAGGAGACGGTTGACTATGGTTAAGAAGTGAGGGTTAACTATAGTTAAGTTAACTAGGGTTGAGAGTAAAGAATATATGGATAGCATGTGAGACAGAAGAGTGTGAGGGAATTCCGTTCAACTTTAATTTGGGCAACAGCTGGAGCTATCTGGTGTTGTCGGTATTATTACCTTTAAAACTCTTTTATGGTCACAAAATTACAGAAATGTCCTTAATCTTTTGGTTGTATGGTTTTGGCCCTTTCATAGGTTATATCAAAATATAGTAATTCAGCTCAATTATTACTAAGTTTTATTCAAGTATAATGCGGTTGGTAGATGATTTCTTTTTTGGGGGTGGTTTAAATTTAACTCACTTTGGTGAATTGGATGAAAGTATTGAATGAGTTTGAACTATGATATTAATTGTTTAATATCAAATTTCACATAATAGGTTTTGATCCAAATTAATATTGAGGATAGAATATAACAATAATAATAACTTAATATATATTTATAAGTGGAGTTGAGGGAGAGAGTGTGTGTATCGTCTTATTTCTATTTAGTAAAGAGAGATTGTTTAAATTTTAAATGATTTTTGATTTAAATAATATATATAAAAAATTACATATTGAAATATATATATAGTAGTAATAAAGAAATTATGCTAAAAATAATGAAGAAAAGTACAGTGACAACAAAAAACAACATGATAATTGAAGCAAATAAAAGAATCAATATTAATAAAATTAAAGAATAAGATATTATAATAAGTAATAGAAATGCAAACTAGATAATTCATAAAAAAAAAAAATAGTAATGAAAACTCAATAACAATCGATATCTAATTAACCTTAATCTTATATTTCCTTATCCTCTTAGCTAAGATAATATTTTCTAAAAATTACAGACAAATTATGTCTTATCTAATCACTCATCTTCAATACTTCTTCAATTTATTCTTATGCAACAAAATTAATTATGTTTTTGACATTTTTCCCACGTCAAGCACCCTCCCAATCACGAAGTTGTTTGGAAGCTTGATTCTAAACTATGGCCAAAAGTATATAGGGTCCTTTGCAATTTTTCTCCTACTTTGATTGGTCTTTAGTTTTTGTGATTCAAGAGAACATTTTTTTTGTTGGAAAGTGGATTTACATTTTCAATTATATCTCGAATTATTAAATAACATATATCCTACTAACTATACATTTAATTTATCAAAGCAAAGTAAAATCAATATCCATTTAAAGGGCAAAAATCAAAGACCAAATAATTTGTAAGTAATGGTACAATGGGATATATAAAAGTTTTTGCATGAATTTCCCACTTTTTTAAGGTGTTCTTTAATTTTGACAATCAAATTAATAATTTTTTTAGGGATAATGTATAAGTACTCCCTCAATCTATGTCTGAAATCTCATAGACACACCTATACGGTCTTATTATCCTCCTGAACTTATTTTATTAATAATTTTCTACCCCTTTTCGGCTTACGTGGCACTGTCTTGTGGGCCCAGATGCTCGTTGACTTTTTTTTCAAGCTAGTGTCACATAGGCCGAAAAGGGGTAGAAAATTACTTATATAATAAGTTCAGGGGTAATAGAACCTTAATATAGAATAAGTGTGTCTCTGAAATTTCCGACATAGATTGAAGGGGTACTTGTGCATTTTCCAAATTTTTTTTTCTCTGCTTCTCATTTATGAAATTTTATGGTCACACATTTGCCTTATGTAGCACTAGTTGTATGGTATTTATTTACGAGACATAAATTTAGAGAATTTTTTATTTTATTTAAGTTATAATTTTGTGTGTCGAACCTCTGTTATCATAAATTTGATAGGATCTAAGTTATGATTTATGAGACATAATTTTATCTTGTGAATTTCACTTTGGGATGTTCCTTGCCTTGTGATTCTATGTTAAGGGTATTATCAATCACTTTTTTGTTATTTAAAATATTAAAGGACGAAAATCATAAATTTGAGAAGCAAAAATTAAAAATCATAGAAATTTAAATCTTAAGAATGGTCTTACACATAATCTTCTTTACAATAAAAGCATTTATGTGGATGACCCGAAATCTGTATCCCTAACTTCCCCATAAATGAGCATTGTGACACAAAAGCCCCATAAATTTTTGAATGGCCCAAATGGGGCTTATTGGACCCTCCTATGACCCATATGCCTCATCATGTTTCGTTTGAACTCTAAAAACCCATGATACTGCCAATAATTAAAGTTGGACTAGGCCTAAATATTTCTATCGTTTTGTTACAAAAATATGGTAAAATTAGGTGGTATGAACTATTTTTTAGCTTGTCATGAATTTTTAAAAGGAAATAAGTATACAAATGTTCTACTTAAAATATATAAGAAATTATAAAGGTTTGAATCTTATGAACTATTTCTTGATTTGGAAACTTGGCGGATAATTAAATCCTATATAAAAAATTAAAGTTTTAACTTTATAAATTCTTTCTTTGATTTTTAAATTTCCAAAAGATTTGTGAACCTCACGAATCCTTAGTTTTGAACTTATAAACATTTGAACATCGTTCCTTTCTTGGTTTTGAAATTCAACAATTTTTGAACCCTATAAAAACCTTTTTTTGGTTTCGAAACTTCAATAAAATCTTGAATCACAAGAATTGTGTCCACGCACTCATATGTGAATCAACAATATGTAAATCTCTCTAGATCACATGAAACTGAGCTTGAATCACTTGAGTCAGATATGTTTGATTTCTAATTTGGACATGAAATTTATGTATATGCATGAATTTATACGCGTAAATGGTCCCCGGTTATGGATATAGTTATGGAGCGTTGTAATATAAAATATAATGTTTTCTTCCTACGGTTTATGGTATTGGTTCGTTAACAGAGAACCTACAATCTCTTGAGTTTGAAGTACTCGAAGACTTGAACAATTTTCTGCTTATATTTTTTCTCAGTCACCAGATAATTTAAATACAATACTTATAAAATAATTACCCCTAGAACAAGGACATGACTTTTTCACTTAACTAGAACTAAAGACTGCACTATTACAGAAAAATAACTACATTATTACAGGAAAATAACTACTACTAAAGAGAAATTACTACAATATCTATTGAATAATTAAGGAGTGATAACAATACGTTTTTATAAAGTGTTAAAAAGACATTAAAAAAGAAGAAGAAAATTCCACACAAAAAGAAAGAAAACAAGGGGAATAATAATGACGTGAAAGTTCTGACGGAAACACGAAATATAATTTTTTGGTTGTTTCGAGAAGTAGATTCTTCGAAAATGACGAAAGTATGACGCCAATATCACTCTTATTACACACAACGTGAATAGAAATAATTGTGTGAAAGCTTTAGCAACAGAACTAAATATAAATATTTAGCTATTTTCAAGGAATAAATCTGATAAATACGACAAAGATATAGCACAAATATTACACTTATTGTAAATCAAATAAATGTGACTATGCTACTAAAAGAGAGCATAGCTTTACTATCCGTCCTAACTCTTTAAATTTCTTGAACCGACCCTTTTTAACTCACTCTAAAATATTTATTTCCTTTTCAATTTTCAAGTATAAAAACCAACCTTCATTATGTAAAGTCTTTAAGTGAGTATGTTTTTCTTTCTTTTATTCACATATAATAAAAATAAAAAATATGATTTCACGTTTCCTTTCTTTCATGTTTTATATGTTCTTAATATTAATTATTCATTTCTTAAATTATTTTTAGGAATGTAATACTATTTTATATCATTTAATATGTAAGTTATGGTAAAAAGACGTGTAAAATTTAAAATGAACAAATAAAAATAAATATTTAAACAACATATATAAATCGACATTATATGACTCCTTTTCGTTACATGAAATTAAGCCTAAATCATTCTGAGTCGAATATATTTAATTCTAAATTCGGACTCCAAAATGTCAAATATATACAATTTCAAATTCCAACTAAAATTTCTTCATGCGAATCCACACGCTCTTTCAAGTGTTGGAAAGTCATTTCAAAGAACAAAAATAAAAGAAAAAAAATTAGTGGAGAGTAATAATATCATGAAAGCATAGAGCTAAATATAAATATTTTTATCATTTTTGAGGAGTAGACGAATTTAAAACAATAAAAAGTATACCACGAATATCACACTTTTATCATACACAAGGTGAATACTGCAAACCATGTTCTCAAAAATTAGCGTAGATTCACAAATTTGAGAAAAAAAATTGGGGATTGTTGATGTTATAAATTTATAAAAATGGGATGAGTTCTGAAGATTTTCGATTTTGAATTGTGATTGCAGAGTTTTTTAAAACCGCTGTTTTTTTTTTCTTACCTGTATATAATTCGTTTGAGTAATAAATGCATAAGTTACTTAAGAATACACCACATAACTAGCACAGCATTGTGCTATCACTTGGTACGTTTTTATAGTATTTGAGTCAAATCTTATTATTTAGAATCTTTTGAAAATTAAAATTTTACCCTAAGTTTTTCTCTTTTATAAAAACACCCTTTTTTTAGTTGTTTGCGTTGTATTATATAATTTTTTACGTGACATCAAAATAGTGATGAAATATTTAGTGAACATTAAATAATGATATGATTGTTGATGAAAATGATGAAAAATTAGCTCAAGGTAATAAAGTAATGTGTTTCGTCTACTTCACGATGTATGAAATGATACTTGTTGCACTCACTCCAAATTACCACATTGCTCTTGTGTCAAGGACACTATTTGCTACTGTTGTAACGAACATCCAATTAATTTGTAATACAAACTTATAGTTAGTTTTAATAGTTTTAAAAACTTATGGGTATTAATCATATTTTTCTAAAAAAAGTGAATTATATTTCTCAAATTTTATGGCTAAACATATGGTGAACTTCACATAAATTTTCACTGAATTAATATTTGCCAAGTATATTTAAAAATTTATGACCAAACGCCTAGCTTAAGATCTCAAATTCAAATTTGGGGTATAATTTCTTTTTACTAGGGAGCATTTTCATTTTAAATGATATACTCTTTATTCTGAGAATCAAACAATTTAATTTTAACTCGATATTCATGCATAGAATATTTGAAATAAAATATATATAATTAAAAAATACGTTAAAAATATTATAAATCATATCAATTAATAATTTAAAATATTTATTAATATATATTTTTAAAAAAAACTTATTTAAATCTTAAATCAAAAAACAAATACAAACATGGTAAATGAAAAGAAGAAAGCCCAATCGATTACTCAAGAGTGATATATAACCATTAACAACCTATGACTGTGTCACAGCAATAAAATTATTTCTTTTTTAATTAGATATCTTACGAAAAAGTATTTTTCTTTTAACTAAAAATTTATTAAATCAATTATGTTTTAATATAAATAGCGGAGAAAAGAAGAGTGATACAAGGGAGAAAGTTAGTGGTAATTAACCATAGAGTAAAGAGATAAGAAGTGGTAGTAGTAGATATCACGAAATTCTTCTGAAGGTTGTTTGTCTGTGATGGAGTCTGCTATTTGGCATTAATGCTGTAAGAAAACTGACCAAATGTCAGAACAAATTCTGACCACTTACTTTAATTACTTACATTGTTCATATTCACAGACAAAAGCTAGTAGGAAAAATGAAATGGCAGCTGACACTTCCATGCCACTAAATCACTATGACCTAACTTCTTTTGTTTTCTTCATGACTTCACTGCCGTGTTCTTCTACAATTATATTCCTTCCTCTCTTTTTTCTTTTTAACAGTAATCAATATCACATTACTTTGTCCAGAATAAACGGATTTATGACTTATGACTTATTTTAAAATACACGTATGTAGTGTGAGAGTCAATATGTTCCTAGCTATAAGAGAAAATGAGGGATTAGTTCTTTTTAAAAAAAGTTTGAAATATTTAATTAATGGTCTATAATATAATTTGAAAATTTACTCAATTTAATTTTAAAATAAGTGATAAATATCATATAAATTGAATAAAGGAAGTAGCTTTTTTGTTTTCTTCTCTCTTACTGTGCTCATCAGTTTTTGCTGTGATGCATCTTTGGCAAGTGTCAGCAATATCAGAAGCTGAACCACTCTCTAATTTCTGTATAGTAAATTTTGGGTTGGTTTAGTTGCAGGTTTTGCTTTTTCCTTTTTTTCTTTCATGTGAAGTCAAGAAATGCAGCTTCATCTATTCTCTGCCACCCCTCTTTCTCTCTCAGGTCTTTACCCTTTTATCTCTGTTATGTTTATGTTTATGTGTCAAAGATTGGATTTTTTTATGTGGGGTTTGTGTTACTGATGAAAATTATGCTTATTTTGATGAAGGAAAAGGAAAAGAAGATGAAATAAAGAAGAAAAAAGGGTCACCACCTTGCATAGAGCTGTCTTTAGGCTATGGAAGTTCAAGCCATGTTGTTGAGGAAGATGGAAAAGATGACAAGTCATCTAACTCTGTGTTCACAGAAGCTCAGTTTCAAGAACTTCAACTCCAAGCTGTGATTTTTAAGTATTTAGTTTCTGGTCTTCCAGTTCCTTTTCATCTGTTTTTCATCATTTGGAATAGTGTTTCAAGCTCCTTGGGTGACGGTGGAATCTACAAACTATATCCTACCTGTAAACTTCCTATTCTTTCGCTTTAATTTGTGTTTTTTTTTAGTTTTCTGTTTGTTGAATTCCATCAAGATTTATTGAAAAATATGATTCTTTTCATTGGAAGTATAAGTTTTGTGATTCAAACTTGTGCTGTCTATTCAAGAATGTGTTTTGTTTTTTGGTTGAACTTTTGGAAAATTGTTGCATGAATCCTCCTTTTGTATTCAGTTGTTCTGATAGAGGGAACTGTTGTGTTTGTTTCTCGATACTTTTGACTTTTCTTTTTTGAATAACAGAGTTGAAAAGCCTATTGATAAGAATGCTAAGATCTAAAGAACATTGAACCGACTTTATTCAATTGGAAATGAGTTTTTGATTTCTGAAACTTGGTACATTAGATGAAGTTTAGTTGCTGAAAAGATTTGCTTTTGTTTTTCTTGGACTTGATATTCTGACTCTGTTATACTTTAAGATTCTGTTCTTTTTCAAGTTTTGGCTCTTTTCCTTTGCCTTGATATAATAATATTCCGAAGTCTGCAATGCTTTTTGATTCTCTTGTTAGATTGGCTCTACTGTTTTATTGCCTATACTGTGAGATGCATCCTTTTTGTGGTCATTAAGCATTAAAGTGTTGATTTATGATAAAACATTTGCCCTGTATTTGATTAGATTGGTCCTTGGAGAATCATGTTCATTTGTTCTGCCATCTTTCCTCGGAACAGTGCGAAAGCGTTGTTTGTTACATAATTACTACTATATGAGTCTATGAGCTCTAAATTTCAGAAACTTAGTTGTGCTTTTTATCATTTTAAAGTCTTTACATCATACTTGGTTTGATGTGGGGAATGAATATCTAGTGCTGAATAGTCTTTGATAGGTAAGGGCAAGAGTAAATGTTTAATCCATGTTATATTCATTTGCACAATGAAGAGCTTGGCTATGTGAATACTTAGGTTCTTTGAAGCATGTTGTAATGCTTTAATGTTTAATAATATGGCTTCTGGTTGCAGTGGGACGATTTGACTATACGAGCATGACGGATCCTGAACCAGGGAGGTGTAGAAGAACTGATGGGAAGAAATGGAGGTGCAAAAGGGATGTGATTCCAGGTCAGAAGTACTGTGGGCAGCATGTGCATCGAGGTCGACGTTCAAGAAAGCCTGTGGAAGCTTCTGAACATGTTATGAGATCAGATGATACAAATATCATTTCCAAGATAACTAAACTGTATGCCAGTGGTGATGACCCTGGCAGCAAATGTGCTCCTGCAAGTAGTAAAACATCCTGTTTGTCTTCTACTAGCAGAACTAACCAATACAACAGCATCGAGGACTCATCTGCTAAACCAAGATTCATCAATTCTGGCTACGGCAGTGAGAAGCAAGACACCTACATGATTTGCAAAAGAAAGGACATCACAACCTCCGTAAGAACCCCATCTTTCATTGCTGGTGACAATGCTGATAGTAAGAACATCGATTTCAATCGTATTAGTCCAAGCAAAACCAACCAAAAACAGAACTGCGGAGAAGCTAGGAAGCATGGTGCTTTGGTTCCAATTTTAGGTCTATCTACAAAGAGTGACCAGCAACACACTATAGGTAAATCACCGATTCCAATGTGTTATATTCAAGGAACTTCTTTCCGTCTTCATTTTAACTTGTCTTTCATCGGTTTAAGATCTGTAAAAATAGCATGCCTTTCCAGGGAAATTATCTAGCACTAGATTATTTAAAAATTCTTCTGAGCAGTGCCTAATAGTGGGTGCTTCGTGAAACTAGTAGAGGAATTAGGATTGTATGGTCTCCTTTTATTAATTTGCTTGGGTTTGTGCAATATTAAATAATTTCTTGCCTCATATTTGATAGTAATCGATAACATTTTTTATTTTAGTCCTCTATTTGTAGTTCTTAAAATCCTTTTGCATAATGCTGTGATAGTTGAAGGAGAAGTTAGTTTCTTTTATTAGCTCAGCAACCTTGATGATTGTTGAGAATGGCTCATGATTAACGGTTGATCCTTTTTTTGTTATAACACAGGCTCAGAATCTGACGAGCAGAGGTGCCGAAGATCAGATGGAAAGAAATGGAGATGCAGCAAGACTGTTGTTCCTTGTCAAAAGTACTGTGAGACTCACATGCACAGGGGAGCCAACAGAAAAAGGGTAGCCTCTGTCTCAGTTGTTGTCCCGCCTTCTAAATCTCCTTCATACAGGTTTTGCCCACCCGAAAATGATGGTACTCGAAGAAACTTGAACACCAGTCTCTCCATTTACACAATCCCAGGGCACCAAAACATTACAGATGATGATTCGAACAGTAACAGTATTAGTGATGCCACCACTATCACCGATGAAATACCAGCATTTGTGTCGCATTAGAAGAAAATCACGGAGACTTTGTGTTGTTGGTGTTCTTTTTAGCAAGATGTGTGAACTTAGTGAGTACTTGAGAAGTGTCCATGAAGGTGATTTTGTGGCCATGTACAAGTCCTTAGCTAGTCTGTAAATCTATTAGGATTGAAAATTCTGTTTTGTAATAGGTTTGATGAGATGATAGACATGTACTTTTTCCTACTAGATCTCCTGGCTAATTGATGACTATTTTTGTTATATACAAGAAACTGCTGCTTAATGATTTTAATCAAAAAAAAGTTAAAAGGAATCAGAGTCTACCTTGTTTTGGATGGTTGTAATTGTTATTTTAAATGCAATATTTATTTTGATTGTAATTTAAATTTTATTGTATCTTATCGTTTAAATCCAGGTAAGAATGGAAAGACCGTAACGATCAATTTGGAGTGGTTGTCACATTAATATTTTCTTCTAATTTTGTTTTTATATTATTTCATTATCGTATTTCATCTCTGAGCTTACCAACTCTACTTTGTATCCTACTTTTTCTAAGGTCTATTATGAATGTGTGACATTATGTAATGACAGAGAACTTTACTTTTCTTATAAGTTTATCATTCAAATTATGAACCTGTAACGTTATGTCACGATGGCGAATTCTACTTCTCCTATAGATTTATCATTCAAATTATAGAGTGTGACATTACATAATGATAAAGAACGATACTATCCATTCAAACACTCTATTCATTAAAACAATACAATACGATATAATAAAACACAATATATAACAACGATGCAACAACAAAGCCTTCAATATATTGGTTTTGAATTTTATCTCCTCCTTCTACGTCCTTTCATTAATATGTTTTGTTAATGATAATTGCTTAGCAGATGCTTATGGCTGGGAATTATTAAAGAGAGAAGCTAGTATTTTAATTTTGCACTATAATTAACAACTCTGTATATATCTTTCAACTAATTAAGATTTATTGGAAATGTATAGATGGTGGCTGTTGACTCTGTGATGATGACGGTGGCCGTCTCCTCCTCCTCCGGCAGTAATAGGGTAAATATATTTCTCTATTATAGAAATAGTTAAAAGTATATCTCTAGTTATACTTGGGGCTCCCATTATACTTTTGAACTAAGTATATCTCGTTGTACCTTCGAGCTAAATATACTGTTATGACTAATATAGGACACGTCGAATAATTAGGATTAAAAGAATTATTCAATTTAAAATAAATTAAATTTAGATACAACCCTCCCCATCTCAATAATTTAATCCGATCTAATCTATAACATTAACCAACTCAATTTATCTTTCAAACATAAACTGAAAAAAAAAAAATCCTAACCGGCATCCTGTTTCTGTTCAGCAAACGAAAGGAACATTGCAACTAGGAATAGTCTCCATCCATATATAGCAGCTGACTATCTCAAAATATAGTCACAAATTTGGTGTCAAAGTATAGCCCACAAATTTGGTTTTAAAATATTTGTGATTATATTTTGATCTTAATTCAAATTTGGCCTTAGTTAGGATGAATCCATTTAGGATGAATCCATCAGTGATCCATTGAAGTTGACACAAACTTTTACTTAGCCTTCTTAATTAGATTTTGTTCATTATAAACAGTTCATGTAAAGCTCAATTGTATCATTTTGACACTCTTTGTGCAATCAACAAAAAGATGATGTGTGTATGAGTTTGCTCGCAATAAGATATAAAGTGTCAAACTAAATGAGGAGATTTATCATTTTGTTCAACAAGATCATAAATAATAAATTTTCAATTATAGAAGTTTTGTTAATTTACAATTTTTGAGATTTTTTAATGTTTATAAGAAAAAACAATCAATTTAAAAGTTCAAATTATATATTCAACCAAAATTTCATTTTAAATCAACTTGATTTTAAGTCACGTCCAAACGAGCTCGAAAACAAGTTACATGGAATACGAAGGAACACGAGATCTTAGGAACTAATAAATGTATAAAGATAATATGCGTTCAACACTGTCAACAATGGTGTCGTGGTGTAGTTGGTTATCACGTCAGTCTAACACACTGAAGGTCTCCGGTTCGAGTCCGGGCGACGCCAGCTTATACCTTTGTTTTTTTTTTAAGTAAATTAAATATTTTAATTATTTAGTCAAAAATATGGTACTAATTAATACTGCAGTAATGTAATATTACAGGGAATCTTTTTGCATTGTTAAATCAAAAATTAATATTACAGGGAATCTTTTTGCATTGTTAAATCAAAAATTAATATTACAGGGAATCTTTTTGCATTGTTAAATCAAAAACTAACTTAAAAAGACAGTTAACTCTATTTGAACTTTGAAATATAGGATTTCTTCCCTTTTAAAATATTTAAACATGGATTTTACTTTTATATGAAGTTGCCAATAGCCATATAAATTTATTTTTTAATTTTTTTGTGTGCGCGATATTAGTTAGAATAGCATATAGGATTAAGAAAAGGAAAGCGTAATGAGATAGATAGACGTCAATTTTATCACATTTAGATACTAAATCATAATTTTGAACTAAGACTTACATGAAAATAGTTAAAAATATATATTATTTAGATAATCAAATCGTTAAAAATTCACATTTTCATTGATAAAAAGGGAAATGAATGTATTCCACGTAAAATTATCACTACAGGAGATGACATAATTAAGAAAAATACCACTAAAACTAATTAGAATATAATTAAACAAATTAGAAAGGACACTAAATTGTTTGAATTTTAAATCTTTGAATTCAAGAAATCCAATCCATGAATTGTTTTTCTTTTTTGCCTTTTTTTTTTTTATAGCATTTGACACACACACATATAAGTTTTAAAAATTATATTATGGGTAGACAAATCTCCCAGTTCAATTTTAAAATTTTCAAATAAAGTAAACTCTTTTTCATGATGAAATGCCCACCAAAATTATTCTAAGAGTTTAGTCTATTAGCTTTGGTCCAAAACAGACCAACTTAACAAATTTCAACGAGTTATTTGGTGTGAATTATATATATATATATATTTATATATATGTGGGCTTGATTTTTTATTTATTTTTTAAAGTTTTTTTTTTCATTTTAAAATATAAATATTATTTAATATTTTTGCAAAATAAAGCATAACATTTAATCACTTCCTCTTTAAATCATACATAAAAGCTTTAGTTATCAAATTCTTACCTTAAAAACATTTTTCTTAATTGTAAAATTTAAGAAAATTTATTCTTTACACATAACTAGAGAATTTGAAAAGTTTTTTAACATTAACTTTTGAATACTATATAAACCATACCATTAGATTGCTACATGTTGGATATGACATTATTTGTAAAAAAATGAAACTCGGATGAATATGATGGTGTCAAAATAGCCATGGATTTCTGCGCGACTGATCGAAGAAGACGACTGAATATGGAGTTTGAAAACCTCTGAAGCTCTTGTCATTCTTCTGCATTTGTTTATTTACTTTTCTTTTTTTAAATTTAGCTAATGCTATAGTTTATTTTCCTTTTTGATTATTGAGAAACGATCCACTTTTGAAATTGATAGTTGTACTATTATTTAATTTTGTTGATTAATAAACCTTGATAGAATATTGTGGGGGGTTTTTTGTTTTAAAAAAATATATTAATGTAATATAATTAAAATTTAAGTTTAATTTACAGTCATTTTTGTTACATATTTTGATTTTTTATTTTCTCTAATCTATGAAATCTGAAGAAAAAAAATCAAATTTCTCTATCATTATTACAATTTATTAATTTTCATTTTTCTTTATTATTACTACAATTTATTATTTTTATTTAAATTTTTTTTTCTACCTTCTATTTTTTATAATTTTCTAAAAGGAAATGTATTTAACTCTGATCCTTATTGCCATAATTTAACTATTTCTATTATTTTTTTTTATAAATATATATGTTTTATTTATGTCTCCTTTTATTACCCTTAATATGTTCTGCTCATTTTCTCTCAATTAATTTCATTTAATTTGTTGTAAAATGTTGAAAAAAATCAAAATAACTTATTTTTTTATCATTAATAAAAAATTATTAGTTAATTTTTCCAAAACTTTTCTTTCATTCTCCTAAATTTCTTTCATTTATTAAAAAATAAAACAGTTCTTAAATTCTGATAAATCTCTATCAGGATCATTTTTTAAAAAAATTATTTTTTTGTAATTTTTTAAAAGTTTATTTATAACTCATTCTTTTTAATTTTTAAACTTCATCTTTTTTGAGTGGCAAGAGTTTAGTTTTTTTTGTGAAAATAAATAAATATATATATATATATATATACACACACATACACACAAATAAAAGGTAATAAGCGGAATATAAGGAAGAGAAATATTTAAGAAATATATTTTTATATGTAATCAAAAAATTCTTTTAATTATATTAAATAAAATGTTAAGAAACTAAAAAGTCATTTCTTTAATATAAGTTTTAATGATATTTATTTACATTACGTTAACAACTTTTTATTTTTCTAATTTCTAAAGTAATTAATAATCATATTGATATTAGGTATTATATTTTATTTTTACTGTTTTTATATTCTTTATGTTTATTATTTGTATATTTTAGTTTGTCTAAAAAAAAAATCAACCTATGGAGTGGATGTCAGTAAAAGCTCAAAAGATTAAGTATGCATTAAATTTATAAATTATTCTTTGCTATAAAAATTAAGGTCTAACAACTATATTACAAATACCTCTTTATTTATATGATACTTAATAAAATTACTCATAACTTATCATTTTATATAATTCCGCAAAGCTCGAATAAGTTTACTAGTATACTAATATGAAAGAAGATGCAAGATTATTTATCAAGTGTTTGGTTAGAGGTATTATATAATTTTATATTATTTATGCTATCACTTCTACCATAGATAGTGAAATAAGTTGGAGATACATAATAAAATTCTCTAGTAGACATTGAAATTTTGTGGGACTCTAGAAGACGTGTTCAATTCGAATTGAGACTCTAGAAGGTGTGTTCAGTTTCAATGAAATTTCTTGAATGGCACTCAATCTTAAACCCTAGTTCATGTTTATATAAAGGATACTAAATTTCGTTAAAAGACATCTTGAATCTTCCGCAAATTGATCGAATATTCATATAGAAGTCAAATCTAAATCATCCTAGTTCGAAAAATATGTCACTAATGAAGCTAACTTTTGGGATGTGAGTTAGGCCTAAGACCTAATTTACCATGCTATTAGAGCAGGACCCATCTCACCCAATGTTGGGGCCCAAAAAAAATAAAAAATTCATGCACCAGATGCTAGATACTGGGCGTGATGTGGGTAAAAAATTATCCAAAATTACCCACGCACTAGATGCTAAGCACTGAATGTGAGCTGAGTCGTTAAAACAAAAAGTCTCATATTGGTGGTTAATGAGATGAGTGGACTCCTTATAAGGTTTGGACAGTCTCCTTCCTTTGAGCTAGACCTAATTTAACAGAATCATGGATAAATCTTATAATAGTATAATTAAGGGATCAACATAATTGTACTCGCAATCTTGATGAAAAAAATTATGTTTCTTCATTCCAGTGAGACCAAATCTGTCCTTCATCTCTTCTCTCATAATGAAATCTGAAAATCAGAAGTTCATCTTTTCTCTCCTAATGATATCTGAAAATCTGAAGTTCATCTTTTTTCTACTAATAATATCTGAAAATCTAAAGCTGCAAAGGTGGAAGAATGAGTACTTCAAGCATCATCTTTGAGTTTAATCGAGTCTATACTCCAACAAGCCTTGAAGGGGAAGGGGAAAGGGGGGGGGGGGGGTATTTGTAGACATTGAAATTTTGTGGCACTCTATAAGACGCGTTAAATTCGAATTGAGACTCTTGAATGTGTGTTCAGTTTTAATTAGATTTCTTGGGGTCTATTCAACCCTAAATTCTAGTTCATGCCTATATAAAGGGTACTAAATTTCCTTAAAAGACATCTCGAATATTCCGCAAATTGGTGTAACATTTATATGATGGTCAAATCTAAATCATCTTAGTTCGAGAAATACGTCATTAACGACCCTCGAATCATGAATAAATCTTAGGTAGGTAGAATCAAAGGAGGAACAAAATTGTACTCGCGCCTTTATCAATAAATATTCATGATTTTTCAGATTTTATTTGTGTGGTTGATTTATTTTTCATATGTTCAAAATTTGTTGCAAAAAACTCCTCTTAATTACTAGTCTACTTTTAAATTGACACACCTTTTCAAAAAACAATAATTAACATAGTGAGTTAGCCATATTAATTATGAAGTAGATGAATTAAAAACTTAAAATTTTCAAAAGTTTTAACTTTTTCAAAGTAACTAATTGAGAATACAATTTGTCAAAATGGACAAGTAATTAAGAACAACTGAAAAGGGAAAAAAATATACAAAATAATTAGAGACAGAATGAGCAACTTATTCTAAAATAAATAATCAAGGAATAACTTATTATATGGGCTATTGATATCCGTGGTTATAAGACCATCTCCAACCCAACATCAAACTTTATTCAAAATCAATATATGGTGTAAAATTTAATTTTTTGAACTCCAATCTACCCAATTTTTACACCAAATTTGATGTAACACTATCACTCCAAATAATTTTTTGAATATTATAATATTGTTTTATCATATAAACTTCTAATTAACATTATATAAATCATATGTTTTAATTAAATCTCTTCTATATTTAAATTCTTTTCATGTAATATTTTTATAATATTAATTTTAGATATAAAATTTAATTTTTTTATAAATTAATTTTTTATATTTGTTTTTTTAAAAAAATTAAATTTATATTAATTCTACTATAAATTATAATTAATCTTCACAAAATTTTAGAATGCAAACATATAAATTTAACAAATAATGCAATGTACATATATATATATATATATATATATATAATAATTGTTTTAGAAAAAAGTTATTTATAAATAAAATAAATAATAAAAAAAATTGATGTAAAATTTGGTGCAGTGGATCGGAGATGCCCTCCGCCACCAAAGAAGCACTATATTTATCCTATATTATAGGACGACAAAGATTACTCTACCTAGATCAAAGAGATGGGTGAAAATTGCTCAGCCCCAACTCGTATGGAGAACAAAAACAGTGTCATCTCCGAAAAATTGTCTGCAGAATCTATTTCTAAGTTCAATAGATTCCTCAAAGGCATGGGGGTCTTCAACCTTAACTTTCCTCCTCAGTATGACACTAAGGATTCTTTCTCTGAACTCAGCCGCAGCCTCCTCAAGGTTCAACATATCCACCGTGGCAAGATTTCATGTATTGTCTCTGTCAAACCTCCTATCATGGTAAACGATTCTTGTTTTGAATACGTTATTTGGTTGAAAAGATCCAGTCTTTCTTGAATTTTGTTTGATACCCATTTTGGAAAATCCCTAATTTTGTCTGAAAATGAAAAGTTAATTCTTTAGAATTGAAAATGTAATTGACCCAAAATGGAACAGATTGATTATTGAGGATTCGTACCTTCCCACTGATCCGGGCTCGTTCTCTTTCGTTTTTTTGTGGATGGTTGGAAGTGGTTAGGGGACAAATATCATTTTGAGGGATATATAAGTGAGATTGAAGGAGGTGGTTCAAGTTGAGATTCTCAAGACTTGAACTTTTAGATGTCAGATGGCATATGCATTTAGGCGTTGGTATTGCTATGGATTTGAGGTATCCCCAATTGTGAAACTTCCACTTAATCTATTCCATCCAATGGACTTTTACACATTTACCTTGGAATTGAAACAACTGATTTTATTCCACTCAATGTGCTGAGACAGAATCCTACGAGTCTCCTTTACTTAGCCCCTGATTTTGACCATGCTACTCTCTCCATTTCATATTACTTGACATCTCTATCTGACCTCCTTCACCATCCATGTGCGTGCTTTCTGCCTCATGCAATGGTGCAATCTTTTTGCGGATACTATCAACTTCCAAGTTGCATTTTATTCAATTGCGTTGAGTGTATACTATTTTCTTTTCGTTCTTTTAGCTGTTACCGGCGAAATAAAGTATTGGAATACATTGGTTTACTTATTTCCTTGCAGAATATCTATGGTTCATTGCACGGAGGAGCAGGTGGAGATGTAGCAGTAAGGGTAGCAACTGCCTGTGCTCGAACTATCGTGGGAAAGGATAAAGAGCTCTTTCTAGGAGAATTAAGCATATCTTATCTCTCTAGTGCTCCTGAAAATGTGAGTCTTTAAGGCATTTGTTTTGTTCTCAGCATTCTCCGTGTTAATGCGTTGCTTGCAGTTTAAGCATCAAGGAAGAGCATGTCAAGATTTGGGTGGTCTTTTTTCTTTTCACCTGCTACAGTGCTGAGCGTGTGTGAATTTTCTTACAGTTTTATAAATACTGCATAGATGTTTATTTGTTTAACAGCAGACGCGACAAACGCATATGGAATTATAAGATGAGAAAGTCATAGAACTAACCTAGACTTGCAAAGTAGGAACACAGCCGTCATGTTGAATTGTCTTGTTTTGACCATGCTACTCTCTCCATTTCATATTACTTGGCCCCTGTTGACCTGACGCACCCCTTAAGAAAGCTTTATATTAAAGATGTTTTTTACTAAACTATCCTTATTAATGATGCTTTGGATCTCTAAATTTAACTACTACTACTACTTTATTTAGTTACTTAATATCAAGGATTGAAAGGGAATTATAAGAAATAACTCTGTTGATTTCATAAATTGGACAAGTAAATCGAAACAACTATTACAAGTATGAGGGCCATGTAATATGAAGCGGATGGAGTATTTGCTTACTGAGGTATAAAAATATATCAACATGATAAGTTAGCTATTTGTCTGCAATATTTATGTGTTGAGGTACAACACCCATCTTGCCTTCTCAGTAATTTATTTCTCTTTTGGATTGGGGGTACTCACAGGCCGAAGTAATAGTTAATGCATCCGTTGTTCGAAGTGGAAGAAACCTGACTGTAGTTGCCCTGGATTTTAGACTAAAGGACTCTGAGAAACTGTGTTACATTTCTCGGGCAACATTCTATCACGTGCCTGTAGCAAGTTTATGAACAAGACCTGGGGTGCAACACATTAAGCTAAAGACATCCTGCTGGTAGGTATATTAGTTCTTCAATATGTATCCAGATAACTTCTGTGGCCTTTTCATTCTGTGCATGTTGCCTCATATTTGAGTTCTTTTGGTTATAGTAACTGTGTTCCAGGAATCTGATAACATGTCCAATTTCTTGTCGTTGACAAGCTTTGGCTATAAAATATTAAAGTACTTTTTGTGGAGCTTTGTCAAATTTCAAGCAAACTACATTCTTCAATCATCTTGGTTCACGATGTATTGATGTGTATCAGTTCCAAAACTTATGTTCCCTTTGCCATTGCTTACATGGTACTAATTGTATTCTGGTGTTCAACTACCCTTTCGACACCTTAAAATCGTGCAATATTCTGTGATTGTCAGAAGTAATGTCATGTCTGTTTAACATTTTGCACTTGCACGTACTTTTGAATAAAAAGTAACTACATCAAAATCTCTTCTGTTGACAAACAGGTTAATACAAGGTATGTCTCAATGTTGGAAGGCTTACAAAGTTTCCAAACTTCATTAGAATCGGGAAAAGTTCAGCTGTCAGTACTGGAGGATGTGTTCTCTATCAGAGGAGCTTAGAAACGTTTTTGTAAATAAACCGTCTTCGTTTCTGCTAAATAGTGATACTATGTTGGCATCATTGTCCAGTTACAAACTCAGTAATGTTAAGAAATGTAAATGGAAAGCAAACCATTAATCTAAGATGAGTAAACAGCATGTACTTGTACCTATATTTTGTGCTAGGGCTGTGCAAATTTCGGGTCACACCCATAAACCAAACTGAAAATAGGTTTATCGAGTTAATGGTTCGGGGACTTGTTTTTTTGGATTTTTAACTGTTAGGTATCCTATGATACTGGATTATTGATTTTTTTTCGGTTTGACCAATAACTCAAAAAGTAAAGTAATTTTTTTTTGGTACAATTTATTGTTTGCATAAATTTGAACTATATATTATGAAAATATTTATTAGAATTGAGATGTTGAATTTTATGAGACGAACATGACTTTCTTCTATCAACATTTATAACCCAATATTGATGCTGATATTTAAGAAATGCAAGATATTATTTCTGAACACCATTATCATCATATGCTTTCCAAAGATAATAGTTCTAACTTTTTTTTTAAACAAAAAAAGCATTTCTATGTTTAGGAAAAAAGGATTAATAAAACCTAACAAACTTATGAAAGAAATGATCAACACAATCTTGTCGATTAATCAGGTAATAACTTGATTATAATGATTTATATGCTACAAACCTGATAAGTCAAATTGATAATGACCACAATTAAGTCACATCTGAGCTGAGCTGTCTTAACTAATTCTGTGGAGCATTTGCAAAATGTAAATGAAATAGGGATTAAAACAGACTATGTACTGCTCCATTGCTGGAGAATACAAGAAGAAGGAGAAGATAATGGTGGAATATAATTCAAAGCGGAAGAGTTCATACACAAAAGACACAATCATCTCGAAAGAAATATCTGAGGAGAACGTTGCTCTGGTTGATATCCTCTTCATGCACGTTCTACAGGACGGTTACAAAATTCCCCAGCAATATAATGATGTTAAGGATTTCTTCTCTCAACTCATTCGCACCTGCCTCAAGATCCACACTATACACCCTGGAAAAATCTCCTGCATTCTATCTGTCAAACCTGAAATATTGGTAATAGATGATGTTTCGGTTAATTAACGTCTACCAAACCCCCCTTTTTGAAAATTCTAGGGCTTACCAGTTTTGTCGAGTAAAGAATTTTGCCTAATTAATTGAAGGGTTGAGTTGCTCCATCTTTTGATGACATGTATGTAAATCACAGGTTCGATTTGTGAACAATCATCTGTGCAGAAATGGTTAGGAGTCCCTTACATGCTTTTGATTGAGCTGATTTTTGGATTTAGGGCATAACCTCTGCTTGTTCTCGGTTCACCGCAATATTGAATACTCGTGTTATATTGTACATGCCCAGCAAAGAGTAAATTTCAATCTTCTTTTTGCAGAAAAACACAACGGCTTTGTTTGATTTGTGCTTTTGTTTTTTTCTTCTGGTTGCCTTCCAAAGTTGTATTTGCCATGTGATGAGTGTGCAACCTCTTTATTGTACTGGATTGTAGAATGCTTATAGTACGTTGCATGGAGGAGCAATTGGAGCTGTCGCAGAGAGGGTGTCAATTGCCTGTGCCAGAACTGTTGTAGGAAAGGATAAGGAACTCTTTCTTGGAGAATTGAGAATGTCATATCATTCTGCTGCTCCATGCAATGTGAGTATTAAAGCTTTCATTTTACCTCCTCAATGTCACTAGATCTAACAACTTGGTAGGAGCTATTGCATATCATAAAAGGAGATTTCATTCTTTTCTCTTTCCCTATATTTATTTACCTTTATATTTGTGTCCTCTCTAGGCAGAGGTGGTCATAGACGGGTCTATCATTCGGAGTGGAAGGAACATAACTGTAGTAGCAGTTGATTTTCGGCTCAAGGACTCAAGGAAATTGGTCTACACCTCGAACGCAACATTCTATCACATGCCTGTCGCAAGTTTATGACTTAAAACTCAAAACACATTAAGTAGATACGTTTGCTGAACACGTTCAGCAGCTCATATAGCATCATTAGATGAATTTGAGACTTAAGAGTACTCTTATCTGTAATCCCCAAAGCAATATTTACATCTAGCATTATCTGAGATTACCTTATTTGTCATCTGTATCATCTATGTAATCAAGTGTTGCTTGATGAAATACACAATGGAATCATGATTTATTGAAATAGAATGAAGTGAAAATCATGTACATCACTCTTGTATTAGTGGTTTGTCCAATGAAACTCCACTTTAACTGGACTGCTGTATCACTACTTGTACTGCATGTCTGCAACAATGACAAGGAGATAGCAGATTTTTTTTTATTTACAATTAATGGCATCCGTTATCCTGGACGGCTTAAATGTAACTTCTGATGAACACAGCCTCAATGAAATAGATGAGATCTAGACAATAAAGGAGCATTAGGAACTCTTTTTGTAAAAGACAATAACTAATGTCTCATTATTCCTCTCAATCCAAAATGTTTATTTCGTCTTGTTTACACCAGATAGTAGTTCACCTGAGGACTAACTAACCGTACAATGAGAAAATGATACAGATTCTGGAGAGATTCTTCATCGAGCCAGTGGCTGGTGAATTACTGTCAAGTAGCCCAGTTCTAATGATTAGAGTGTTATAATATTTGATCGCTTTAGTTTTGTATATTACGGACTTGCTTTTTTGGATTTCTATTCCTAGCCAAGTGGAATATTTAATGACTTGGTGATGGAATATACCCATATGTTTTGACAAAATTAAGTAATAAAAAAAATGTTTATGCTGGAAACCAGTGTGGTCCCGTTCCTGGATGTTCACTTATTTTATATTATATTAACACCTTGTTGATTGGTTATGGCGAATTAGGGGTCAATGGAATGAACAGTATATCAGTCCATATACATATTCAAAATTAAATTTGTTGATTGGATAGCAAATTGCTTAGGTATATAGAGTTGAACCTTTGGTAGATGGGGGAAGAGAGTTCGAAATCGAAGAGTTCATTCACCAAAGACACAATCATCTCCGAAGATTTATCTGAGGAAGCCGCTTTCTTGGCGGATCGTCTCCTCAGCCGCGTGCAACTCCACGGGGACAAGTTTCCGGCCGGATATGAATCTTTCTCTGAACTCACTCGCGGCTGTCTCAAGGTCCACAGCATCCATCCTGGCAAAGTCTCCTGCATTTTATCTGTCAAATCTGCAATCTCGGTAAAATATTTGGGATCTGATTTTCACTTCTGTTCAATCTCTGTTTCTTTTCTTCTAGTTGGATGGGCTTGCCCTCACTCTAATATGACAAAGTGTGCAACCTCAGAATATTTATGGTAGCATGCATGGAGGAGCAGTTGGAGCTGTCGCAGAGACGGTGTCAATTGCCTGTGCTAGAACTGTTGTAGGAAAGGATAAGAAGCTCTTTCTTGGAGAATTGAGAATGTCGTATCTTTCTACTGCTAAAAGCAATGTGAGTATTAAAGTTTTCATATAAGCTCCCTTTACCTCAATAGAACTACAACTTATTGTATAGTAACAATTTGGTAAAGACCAAATGCACATCATAAAAGGGTCTCTTTCCTATTTATTTGCTTTTGTATTTGTGTCCCACTCTAGGCAGAGGTGATCGTAGATGGGTCTATTATTAAGAGTGGAAGGAGCACAACTGTAGTTGCAACTGATTTTCAGCTCAAGGACTCGAAGAAATTGGTCTACTCCTCGAGTGCAACATTCTATCACATGCCCATCGCAAGTTTATGAACTCAACTCAACACATTTGCTAAACCTGTTCAGCAGATCCAGCTCATGTACAATTGCAGATCATTGATATAATCTCGAGTGTCGTATCTGCCATCACCATATCAATATCTCGTATTATCTGAAATTCCCTTATTTGTCTTCTGTTTCGTCTTTGTAACTGAAGTGTTGCTTGATGAAGTACACAATTGAACCATGATATATTGAAAGAGAAAATCATGCAAATCAATCTTGTATTAGCTGTGTGTCCAATGAAACTCCACTTTAACTACAATGCTGTATTACTACTTAATACTGCAACAATGACAAGGAGATGACACTGATCTTTTGATTTTAAAAAAAGGCGATGCAACTAATGGCATCAGTCGTACTGGACAACTAAGTGTCTCTTCTGATGACACATCCTCAATGAAATAGAGCAGATCTAGATAAACAAAGGAGCATAAGGCACACGTTCTGTTAAAGACAAAAATTTCTAATGTCTCATTACTCCTCTCTCGCCAAAATGTTTGTGTCTTGTTAACACCAGAGAGTTCACCTGAGACGAAAAAATAATTATGGTATTAAAGCTATTGCTTATTGTACGATGAGAAAATGATACTACCAGAACCAAGAGTAAGGCATTCTTTAGCATCAAGCTAGTGTCAGAATATTTGATTGCTTTAGTTTGGTAATTTACAGTAAATCATATATTATATGTTCCCACTGCACGAACTATTTGTATAGGAATTATACTACATGGATTGTTATACAGTAAATAATAGAATGATGCATTGATTCCCCAGTAACTCTACCCATCAAATTCAAGCAAATGGAAAGAAATCACCAAATAAGTTTTTGCTTTAAACTGGATTTGAACCTAAATTCTAATGGTCTTCATTCCGGTTTCATTGACAGCTACTCCTCACTCTGGATACTCTTGATTCTAAAGTATTCACATTGATCTACACTAAGTGAGATTATCTCCGAAATAAGGAAATATACCACACTAGGATTTTAGGCTCCCATAGTTGATATACTAACTAGAACTGCACAAATAATAAATGAATGTTTCCAGAATCTTATAGACTGTATTGGTCATATTGACACTGTTATGACAAACAGCATTCCGTTAGAAAAGTGTTCTCATTTGTCTTGTAGCCGTACTAGTTCCTCACCTAACTATCAGTTTGAGATGCCAAGAATATATAGATTAGTTTTGGGATTTGACATTTTCTATCACCATAAAAACTCAAACTAAATACAGATTGGAAGACCACACAGTCATATGCCATAATATTTAATATAGTGACATACTTAGAATATAGGAGAAACTGTCACTGAATCATGCCTCATGGGAAGATAGCATCAACAAATTCCTCAGCATTGAATGGTTGGAGGTCATCTACACCTTCCCCAACACCTACAAATTTTACAGGAATACCAAGCTCATCAACCACACTGACCTGCAATGCGAGAAGTTTGAGATCATTTAACTAGTTGCAATTTCTCAGTTTTTAAGAGAGACAAATTTAACCACAACAAAATCATAAAAGAAAAATGAGCTAAATTTGGAGAATTCAAAGTATACCACACAGCCACCTCGAGCAGAACCATCAAGTTTAGTCAATATTAACCCAGTGATTCCAACAACCTAGAGAAGAAGGCAATTTCATGAAGAACCTTGAACTAATTAATGCAACATATAGAGGTTCAGAATAACAAGCTGACAAGGGTCATTACCTCATTAAACTCTCTTGCTTGAGGAAGCATATTTAAACCAGTCGTTCCATCCAGTACTAGCAAGATTTCCTGCAAAAGTTCAATATGTTATTCTTACATTATGACAAGGGTTTTCCATTCAGCAACAAGAGAAGTTTAGGTCAGTCTAAAAAGAATTTAAGCACGGTAAATAGAATGGGCGGGAAATTGGATTTTAGATGACAAAGAGGAGCCAATAACTAAGAAAGGTAAAAGGATAAAACAACCATGGTTATGCATACAAAAGATTCCAATAACTTTAATAGGGTTTCACTATTGTACCCATTCATGTTTACACTTGAAAAGATATCAAAAAATACAATCTAACTTGATCTTCAATATTGAGTTCTTTTGTCGTTTAAAACACCTCGTATTCCTATCTTTCCAAATGCATCACCAAATAGCTGTATAGTATTATTCCATGCTCTCTTCAGATGCTCTGAAATCCCATGAAGAATCAAATTTATCTAAAATCCTGCTATTTTATTTTTCCTTGAAAAGGGTCTTGTATGTTTTGAATCCATAACATTGGTACTTCATAATGTGGGAATAGATCTTGCACTAAAACTCAAATTGGTACTTCATTACATACTATAGGTTATGTTAAGAAGTACTTTTGTGTACATTATAGGGACTCCATTGTATGCTTAAACATCACAAGTTCTCCAAAAGATGGGACAAGCCGCGATGGATGTTTAACAGTAAAATAAAGAAAAAAGCTAAAGAGTTCAAGTTTAACATACATTAGGTGCACCATTAACAATTTTACTGACAACTTTTTTGCATGCCACCAATTCCTCCATCAAGCTATAGTTGGTGTGCAAACCTGGTAAAATTATCAATTTTGGTTACTCAGAGATACTCTATAAGTGTGAATAAGAAAGTTGTTTTCATATTCACAAAGCTTACGGCCAGATGTGTCGCATAAAACAATATCGAAACCCTCTTCCTTTCCTCTTTTAACAGCCTGTGAAATAACTACTCAGGAAGAACTTCAAGATCACTTGATTAGGAAGAAGTAAAGTTTCCACTGACATTTTTATTTGGGTTAGTGTCTAGCGCTACCTGACGATGCCTTAGCTTTCTCTTTTTCAGCAACAACAATCTCACAACCAGTCCTTTCAGCCCAGATTTCTAACTGATCACTAGCAGCTGCTCTAAATGTATCACCAGCTGCTAATAGTATCTGCAGAAAGACCACAGAATGGAAGTGTGAGAAGCAGGAGTTATCCTGTCATGAGTAGAGAAGAATGTATCACCAGCTGCTAATAGCATCTAATTCTAATTAAGTGGCAGAGAAGAATGTTTGAGTGAGTTTTTCATAATGTAACAAATACTATATCCTGAGAACCAATTTCCTTTGTGATTAAATATCATAGGATTGTAAAAGAATGAGAGATTTACACAACAAGAATGTTATGCGGAATTCGAGATAATACGCGAAAAACAAGACAACAGATTTACGTGGTTCACCAATAAATTGGCTACGTCCACGGGGAAGAGGGGGAGCAGTTTTATTATGGAGAGACAAGAACAGAATAGGGTTTGCCATAGCGTCTATATATAGTGCTAAGCTATGCCCTAACAGGCTTGGGCCCAAAATACAGAATTGACAGATAATTAAGGGCCCAATACAACAAGACCCCCGTTCTTTCTGCTGTAACGGGTCCGATTCAAGGCATTCAACAAAGAATACATAAAACTTACTGGTGACCGTAAGGAAAACTATCAGCACTTGTCCTCAAAGCGAAGGGAAGGATCATGAAATGTTTCAAGTTGTTAAGGTTTAATAATGGAAAGCATATCCCAAGATATATTTACTGTTATGACTTATGAGTATGAAGATTTTCACAAGGTTGGAAGGCAGCCATAGGAATATCTTCCTTCGTTTCAGTTTAATCAAGATATTTCTTGACAGATCAACCTAATGATTGTGTCAGTTCCTCAAACCAACTCAAGAACATAAAAGCTTTCAACACCACCAATTTCGATAGCATGTTTCCATATTAGCAGATGAGGAGTCAGTGCCTGGAGTCCTAGAGTTTAAGCTTCAGCATATCTAACAAGTCTAACCTTGCCCCAAAAATTTCTTTAAAATGCAATGCCATACTTTAATCAAAACAAATATTGGTAATTATCATTTCAAACATAACCTAATGCACACTGGAGAAATTTGACTGGAAATATTTGTTAATACACAGTGATATTTTAGTGATACAGAAAAGTGGCTTGCACTAATAGTTCTGCAGCATAGCTGCCAGCTACAAGATAACAGTTCGCCTCACCTTTGCCCCTTCTCTCTTCAACCTATTTGCCAACTTTCCTGCATTAGTAGAAAAAGAGTTACCGTCATGAGTTACTGCCATTTTTAAATTGTTGAATATGTGATGAACATCCCAGAATTTTTTGCTCCTCTTACTACTCATTATTACAAATCAAATGTTCTCAAGAGGATTAAGAAAAAAAGGCAAAAGTACTACTCAAATTTGCAATAAAAATGGATTTTAGAGAAATTTCACTGTTGCCACAAACATATAACAGCTTTTCTTTCTTGCACATTGACTCATTTACCAACCAACAATATGAAGGTTTACCATGAAACAAAAATTAGTTCCCTTACCAAGAGATGTTGTCTTCCCACCTCCATTGACACCCACAATCATGATTACAGCTGGTTTCCTAGTACATAAAAGCAAGCACCAAATTTTAGTTCACTCCACTAAAAGACAAGTTTAAGATAAATGTAAAATTTAAATTAGTAAAGCAGTTGAAACCTGAAGCCCAGACTGAGTTCTGTTTTAGGTGCTTTACTAGTCAATAGATCCAAGATACTCTTCTTTAGAACACTCTTCATATCATATCATTGCATTTCACAAAATCAACACATCCATACGCAAGAAAAACAGAAAATTAACAAACAAGCAATAAAATAAATGTGTAAAACTACTATGCGTAGAGCATGAGCCGTCATTAGTTTTCCCCGTGAACAAATTGAATGAAATAGTTTTATTTCTAAAACAGCATATTGCATAGACCAGTGTGTTACTGAAAAAAATTGAATATCTCAGCATGCTTACTTTTATCTCACTTCCTGATTTGATTTTCCCTGCATATATATCCTCCCGCAAGCTCTCCACAATCTTTATGGTAATCTTCGGCCCAAAATCAGCGACCAACAGAACCTGAAACCACAGTTGAAGATTGTCTCAATCCTCAACACTTGCATGTGCCAGAAAATAATAATTCAATTAGCTAAAGTAACTGCACGATCAGTATTTGGACATAAATATACTAGGTAATGCAAGACACCAAATAGTGATACTAATCTCGGCATAAGGATCAGGATCATTCATTTGAGACAGTTTCTATATCGAAGAAGAAACTTTCCCTTTCCCTGGAAGTTCATATGTAAAGATGTAAAACTTCCCATTCAACTCTAAATAACGTGTAGCTTTATAATATATTAATTCCACTTTCCACAGCAATTATAGCACGACAAAGGGAAGCACTACGCCATGCTGAGAGACGGTCCAAATTATTATTTAAACCCTGTTTCAAATAATTAAGACTGTGACATAATTTTGCAGCAAATAGTGGGCAAAGGTGAAAATCATCAGGAATGTACATCGAAAAATCATAAAATACCTAAGGAACCACACGAAAAATTGCTCAGATTAGCAAAAATAGCAACGGAAACTCAAAGAGAGTAGTCCTCTCATCTCAATTTATGCAAAATCATTTGCACTTACTCATTTTATGCGACTTCCACAAACACAATATTATGAAATTATTCAAAATTTTAAGTACCCCTAGCATGTAACTTTTCAATCATTACTTCGACATTTTCTTCTCCTATAAACTAAAACAACATCTCAGACCGTAATTTTCAATTTCAGTTTTAGCAAGAATCGAAAGGGTATTTGGAACTAAACCTCTTCAAGTTCATCAAGAACACGATCAGTATCAGAAAGGTTCCAGTAAAGGAGGAGTTCATCAATAACAGCTAAATTGTCTCGAGTTTTTGAGAATCCTGAGAACAGTTTCTCCACATCACTCTTGGCTTTCTCTTTCAGCAAACGACCAAGCTTCGTGAAGAACCCCGTTTGACCCGCCGAGCATCTAAACCGGGACTGATCGAACCGGGTTTTGGATGTGAAGTGGAGGAGAGTTGAACCGGAGTTAGAATGTGGGAATACCGTTTTGGAAGGAAGACGTGGGAGACGAGAAGATAACGTTGAAGCCATTTCGTTCAGCTCAGAAGCAGCAATGGAGAAGATAATGCAGCTTCACACGACGCCGTTTTATTGCTCTTTAACATTCTTTTTTTTCTCTCTTTTAGTTTTCAAAAAGAATTTTTACACCTAATAATTTCGAAATACTTAGCATGTTTATTTTTTTATATTAGAAAGTTTATAATTGTATAAAAAAAAGTTAAGAATTATTTTAATTATAATTAGGAAATTTATATAAATCAACTAGTTTAGTATTACTTATTTAGATACACTCTAACTTGCAATTATACGAATCTTGTTAAATTTTGATAGATGCAAATTATTTTACTATATGTATCTTAGCGATAAATAAATTGTGATTGCTTTTATTGATACAGTTTCATTTTTTTTTTGTAGTTTTGTCTCGGGCCTAGCCATTGTGTAACTTCTTTATAAATCAGTGTGTTCAAGATTTTGTCTTTCACCATCAAACACCAATTCATTGGATAAAATTTAGGTGCAATTTAATTAGATACATTTTAATCAAGTGGATTTACATGTATATGAGATACATAACAAATCAGCTTGTCCTCCCTCTCCTCTCTCTTATCTCACTTGTCCCTCTCTTATGTAGATACATGTATATAGTGTGATTCACGTGAAATCGGAATGTATAGTAAATCCTCTAGCTTCTCACTCTATTTTAGTGTATGTAGTAGCAAAAGTACACATATCTAACTCTTAATTAATTATAATGTACACAATATTTTAAAAGTATAAATATGAAAGTAGAGTATGTTACTTAATTTTTCTTTATAATATAATCATATCATATTTATAATAATTTTGATAACTGTGGTGCTCTTCTTCAAATCTCTTAATTCAAAGTTTTTTTAAAGAATAAGATTAAAAAAATTGAGAATATATACGTATTTCCACATTATACTATTTAGTCTCATATATTATAATTTCCACATTACAGTCCAATAACTTATCTACAGAAGATAATTCGAAGAGATAAGACATTCTACTTCAACAAATTAGAATATTTCAATTTTATAACTCATTACATATATTCTCTTTCTTGTTCCATGCTACTGGGGAAATTTTTTTCTTATATAGTTTGTAAGTTTTTTATATCAAAATTTTAAATTAATTGTGCGATTGATAATTAATTTTGGATCAAATTTTAAAATTTAACCCAAAAAAAAATTATAGTTTCAGTTATAAAATTTCAAATTTATTTCCAAGTAGAAATGTATGTCCAAATAAAATTTAAAGTTATCAAAATTACAATTCAAAAATTCAAGTTTTTAAAATTTAAACTTCAAAATCTACTACAAATCAAAGTTCAATACACATGAATCGTTTCAAACCTTGATTATAGCTTGTTAAAAACATGCTCATTTGCTAGATTTCAGAATAGTGCGTTTATGAAAAATTAGTAATAGAAATTTGACCATTCAACAATTTTTTTGTCTGGGAGCGATTTTGCTCTTTTAATTAAAAAAATAAAATAAAATAAAATTAATCTCTCCTTTTATAATTTTTGACAATTTTTTTTACCTTTTTGACTCCGGACACTTTTCTATTATTAACCTTTTAAGGCAGGGAGGTTACTCCTACAGCTGGGAATGCCTCCTATCAAGCATGATTTTAAGGAAACAAAACAGGTTGACTGACTTGCTAGCTAAACAAGGTTAGCTGCTGGCAGATTATAACAGCTTAAATTCTATGTGAATTTCCTATTATACGCTTCTGGTACACTCTCGATATGTCATATGACATAGCAAATATTCTCAAACGCCTAGGAGTATGAAACTATTAATGAAAAGCCGAGAGAAATGTTAAGAAAGTTTTTAAACTTGACGAAAATTTTGGGGTATATTTTACTCATGTTGAGAGACCGTGGATGTATTTAAGTTCAAATAAATAAGTGTTTTCTTAAAAATGTCAATAGTTTAAAAGATGAAACTAATAATTCACGTCAACTTGAGAAATATTCCGAATACTTCTCTTTTGAAAAATGAATAATGCACATAAGGAATGAACTATTTTTATTAGGCAAAAAAAACAAAAACTATTATATAATTCACTAAAATCCTCCTCCTATTGTGGCAGAACAATTTAGTGTTAGTAGTAATGCGATATGTGCTATTGTAATGTTGCATATAAATATAATATATTGATCTTTCGTTTTAACTAAAAGACACTCCTTTATAATGAAGTTGCGTAAAATAAATAAAGAATAAAATAACATAAATTAGATTGGAATAAAAATAGTATAAAACAAAATGAATATAATATATGATAACGTAATAATATGATGTATTATGATTTCGAAAGCAATATGACATGATCAAATTGACTAGTATTTTGCATAAATTCTAAACCATTTAGGAGTCCTTTGATCAATTTTGATGTTTTTTCCAAACAACCCTGCAAGTCTTTTTTTAATTAAACAAGATAACTCTATACTATTAATTGAAAGTACATTTATATATAAAATATATGTGGGTAATAGGACCAGACCACACGACTTAATTATTTATATGTATTATTTGAATGATTTAACAATGTAAAAATATTTACAATGACAACATACTATTAAATTAATTCTAATGATGATGACAAATGTAACCGTGGAGAAAAAGCTGATGTACTTAATTATGAATTTTCCACCTACTCTACCTAATTATGGTAAGCAGTTTTAGAGAAATTTCTCAAACTTTATTATTGAGGACTCCATGAAATACATAATTTGTATCATGATTCACATTACACCTCCAGAAAAAAAAAAATATTCCAAGGACATAATTAAAACTACACTTTCTACTATTTTTTGTGTTCCTAATTATTATTTTATTTTTAAATTGAGATATATATTAAGAAAATAATTATTAATATGGTGAGTTTATCTTTTTATTTTATTAATTATGAAGTAGGTGAATTCAAAATTTGAAAATAATAAATAAAAAATCAAAATTAAACCAGTAAAAAAGGACATAGCGAATATGAAATAGAGGCAGTAGTGATCAGAGATAATAACAATTGTTACCCGTCTCATTTTAATTATCTTTCATATTTATAGAAAACAAATAGGTACAAAATATAATTTATTTAGCTATATTCTTTTTACTAACTAGATATTTGCTAAAAATTGAGCAATATTTAAAAAGTATTTTTCAATATTATATTGTAAATGTTAGAAATATTTATCTATATTATTTTAAAAATAAATTTATTCTAGAGCTATAAACAAGATTAAAAATGTAGTAGTTAATTTAGTCCAACTCTGTGAGTGAAAAAACTATTGCTCTGTTTAATTTATATGACTTATTTTTTTAATTTATCAAAAATAAATTATTTTTATATTTAATAATAATTTTAATTTTAAAATATATATTTTATTCCTAAAAGAAAATGATTTCCAAAACATATTTTATATGTCATTTATTTTAAATCATAAATTTTGATATTGCCTTCTTTTTTATTAAAAAAAAAAAGCTTATGAATTGAAATAAAGCAAATAGGTAGTTATCAGTTATCACACTTACTTTGCAACGGCCAAAATGTTCCACCTGGATTTTGATAAAATGTGATAAGTGCACACCTGCAACATCCACTATTATTATTATTTTATGGAGGTAAATTTTTTTAAAATTTTAAGTAATTTATCCGCTTTATAATTAATAAAAATAAAATAATAATTTTATCAAGTTAATTATTATTTTTTAATAAGTGTATTAATTTAAAAGTGATCGACAATTATGACATATTCCTCTATAAAATCTATACATATCCAGTTTAACAAAATAATCAATAAATAACATAATATTTTTATGAAATCATTTTTAAATATAAAAATATTTTACCGTTTTGAAATTAAAAAACGACTAATTGATTATGATAGTATTAGGAATAGAATAAATTATTTTTCATTTTCAAAGTGAATGAATATCTATATTTAATAAAAATTAATGTATTTGGACCGAATGAACATGTATATTCTTTTTCCATTCAAAAATTATAGAAGATTTATTCTTGTATCTATTAAAGTCAGTTTTACCACGTCAAACGCGTACGTCAAAATTGAACCGAGTAACAGACTGGACAAATAGAAGCAACATCTCTCTTTCTCTATCCTTTCTTTTCTCCTTCCTTTAAACACATCTATAAATACACACACACTACTATTCTTTTGCATACACATACTATAATAATTACAATGAAGCCATTATCATCTTCTTCGCGTTTGTTAGAAATAACGGTAATGTCGGGCGAGAATCTTCTAGATAACAGAAATCGACCGGTGAAGAAGAACGCCTTCGTAAATATCAAAACAGAATCTTATTCATGCAACCTCCAAACAACTAAACTGGATAAAGAAGGTGGAGGTTTTCCAAAGTGGAACGAGAAATTGATCGTTGATTTGCCAATGCATGCGCGGCATCTAACGGTGGAGGTTCAATGTAAAAATTCCTCCGGGATCAAAACCGTTGGGATCGCAAAAGTTCCGACGTCGGATTTTATTGGAGGAATTTTGCCCGAAGATTATTTGCATTTTTTGAGTTATAGGCTTAGGAATGAAAAGGGGGAGAAGAATGGGATAATTAATTTTTCTGTTAGGGTTAAAAATGCGGCGGCGCCGTCTCAAAGTGCGGCCGGCTGCGCTGCGGCTTATACGAAGGCCGCACCGGTGGATATGGGAAGTAGTTATAACGGTTCTTGTGGGATTGTTACGGGTTTGCCCGTTTATCCGGGGAATTTTCTAGGTAATTCAATGGCGAAGAGATTTTAAATTTTTGTTCTTTTATTTATTTTATCAAATTGAATTTGTATAGACATGTTTAGGATGAATTTGATAACTGCTTTACTCGACAGAAAGTTATGTCGTGTTTATTAATTAATAGTCTATCAATTCAAAATCATAAAATATCATTGATCATGTCATATCTACCTTTTAATATCCATAATTAAATGTTTGGTGTTTGGGTATCTAAATTTTGAATACTAATTTAATCGAATCTGATAATACAAATAGTAAAAACAGTCTGGAGGCGGGGTTGGTAAAACCCTTGGACAAGAAAAAACTTTTAGTATTGACTTTTGAGATGTGCGTAGGATTCATTTTTCTCTTCAAATCTACTATTTCTGCTTGATAACAATAGTTTTCTTCTCGTGTCTATGAGTCATGTGTAACTTGTTTATTTAACAGTATTTTTTTGACTGATGATGAATTATACTATGCTGAAATGTCTGTTAATATATGAACTTGCTTGAAAGTAAAAATGCTAGCGAATTGTGTGTTATGGAAAAAGATTTGTATTAAGTAACTGTGAATAATCCGTATTAAATAATTTCTGATTTATCTGAAAAGTTGGTTCTCTATCAATCAAAAATAAATAAATTACAAACTAAAATTTATGTTCGAAAAGAAAAAATTTCAATTTTCGTAGTAATAAATAAACGTTTTCTGATTCACTTCTCAAAATATATATGTGACATTTTCTTTCGAATCTAATTTGCTTTGCTATACGTATATTATGTTATTTTAAACAGAATTGTATCTTTTTAATGGTTAAGTGATAGCACAAGTTGGGTGACACTAGTGTAAGCTGCCCTAATAGGTGAAAGGAGAAAATCTGTGCGCTTATCACTCACTACCTTCAAGATTATGAGATTTCATACATGTCACTGAGATTAAATAGGACATCTACACGTGATATACAAGAAAGTTATACAAACATGTAAGCCCACAAAAATACACACTACAACATGACGAGAGAAGCGAATGCTAGGATGGGTGAATATGGTATGAACACCCATAAGTACAACAAGATCTTCGTTTTGATGGCAGGCATTTACAGTCTTATGCTTCTTCACTGCTGCTCTGGTTGCCATTTTTAAGTATATTGAACTTGCAAAGAGGACAAGTTGCGTTCATGTACAACCACTTGTCTATGCAGACAGAGTGAAAATGGTGACGACAAGGGAGCTCACGCAGCTCAATTCCATCTTCATAGGGACAAAGGCAGATGCAACATTCCTGCAACAGACAAGAATGAATGAAATTAACTCCTATAAGAGGATTGGGAAGTTAATCCCAGGGTTTATGGAAAAATCTAATTCAAAGCAAGAAATTTATCGAACGCACGGCATCTTCCAATGGAAGAACATGCTCAATGGGTGTATCAGTGTCACATTCAGTCATTACTCCTCCAAATGATTCTTGAATCTCGCCATTTTGTTTTTCAAATTTACCAAGTCTTCGAAACTTGTATTTAGTCAATCTCTCAACGTCTTCCTTGGTTGCTCCTTCCTATATCAAGAAAAAAGCAATTTTGAGATAGATATTCAGACAGTTGATGTAAAAGGAGAAGCTTTAGGATGCAAGAGACACAATCAATAGCATAAGATAGAAAATAAAGGCAGTTACTTTCTCTGTACAGTTGACTAGCCATGCGATATTTGAAATTAGATCATTCAAATGTACATACATCAATCCTAAAGTAGGAACACTGTTCATTTACTTCCAGTTCATTTCGGTGATAGTAGTGAATAATGTAGACAAAAAATATTTCTTTTCATGAAACTCAGCACAAAGTGGGACTTGAACAAAAGATAAGGACCTACAATATCAAATTCAAATTTCCAACAGTGTAGAGTACATATACCTTTGCTTTGCATTTTGAAAAGAAAAGAAAAATTGGAAGTAATCCAGACTTAGACAGATGCAGTATCACACCATAGCTTACAATTATCAGGCACATCATATCAATCAAGTCCACATAATTCAGTTCTACATTGTTACCTCTGTTCCATTGAAAGCTGTCTTATTCTAGAAGTAGTGATGTAAACTCCAGCTTTGCAAACTAAGCAGGATGGACATAAGGAGGATGATAGGTGAAACAGACCAACATCTGAAATTTACTGTATCAAATCTTCTATTGAAGTTTCCCTTAAAGTGAATCTCATGTTAGAGCTACATACAAGACGTGAGCATTCCAACCTTTGACCCCGAAACCAGACAATTTGTGAATCCTCACCCACCTCAACTACATACAATGGTCTCTTAGTTCAAATGCGAGCCTTTATCCCATGACTATTTACTTTAATCCCTCACACCAAACGAACCGTCAGTTAATAAGATTGCATTTAAAGAGCAACATCACAAGACCTTCTCGATCATGCATAACATCTCATATTAGCAATTTAGCATTAGTAAGATGATAATCTATCTACTTTCATTTACAAATAATATGCTACTTCCATTTCATTCTATAATGACTATATGTTATCAAGCACAAAGTTTAAGGTATAGATTTTACTAATACATTATAGTAGAGATAGTGGAATAAAAGTATCAATGTAATGGTTCAAAGTAACTTTGATAGAGAAACCATCACATCCAAGTTTAAAAGTTGAACGCCCCCAAGGCCTAGCTCGAGTGGCAAAGGTGGAGGATTTGTGGCTTAGGTCACAGGCTCAAGCCCCACACCATGCAAAGCGAAGTCTGGTATTTAAGTGGAGAGGGGTAGAGGGGCGGGCCCATTATCCACCGAGTTTAGAAGGTTGTGATTGGACCGAAGAGCCGGTCACAGGCGGATTTCTCGGTCATCAAAAATAAAAAAAGTTTAAAAGCTGAACAATGTTAATGAATTTGATTTCTTGAAAGTTGTATAGAAATAGACTGGTGTCAAATACTTGTGAAAAATGGAATGGTGTAAAATATTTTAAATGTCGAAAAATGGAAAATGTCACCTAGATAGAAATAGAGGGAACAATTTATACCTATATCCTCTGGATAAGGAACCAACTGCTTGCCATTTTCCACCCGAATGACAAACTAAACTGTATGTTCCCGATACAAGGACATTGTAGACATTTATTAGCTCCTGCCTCCTGCTATCTTAGTTTAGGTTGTATACATGTATAGGAGCTAACAACTTTTTGTACTTACTGCACCTTCTTGATGCATGTCAATGAATGATTTCATTGAAAAAAAAAATAAGAGGTCTCTATGGTCTAGTACAAAAGCAAACTACAGAGTTGAGATGAAGATAGCATATAAAATAGAGCATCTACGCTAACCATGAGTTCAAAAAAGAGGTGTTAATTAGAAGCATAATAGAATACAAAGGGATGACACAAAAGCATAAGATATCCAGAACATACTTGCACAATCTATTTCTAGCACTCTCAGACTGTCTTTTAGCTGATAATCTCAAGAAAGTAATTTCTTATGTACTAAGTGATACAAAATGTTTAAAAAAAAAAAGATTTACATAACTACCTGGTCTGCCACTGCATATAAAATAGCGATGATACATGGTAAACAGCAACAAACAGCAATTCCAATGAGACATGCCACGGCAACACATATAACAACAAAGAATACATCAAATGCTAGAAATGTGAGACACAGCCTGCAAAGAACCCAAATAAACATCATATCGAAGTAAATCACAACAAATACAGAGATCAGAGACTTGCTTGGAACAAACCAGTAAAGTTGAGGTGCATCACGGGCCAAACTGTCGCCACCAGCAGATATCCAATAGAAACCAATTATCCACCAAATGAAAGAAAACATGGTATTTGCAGATTCCAGATGCTTAGCTACACTGAAATAATATGTTAAGAATCACTAATAGATTATGAGGCACAACTATATGATTTCCAGTCCTCTGGAAACAATGAGCTACTGGCAGGAAATACAGGAAATAACTACCAATGAGGTATTGTGACACTCTTTGACAACAAACTCTTTTTTCTCTTTATTTTAATCTTTTTCCTTGAAAACTACGGACAAGCTTTCATTATCCACCACAGGCATCAATTTCAATAACCTCAAGCCTCATAGTCACATCTTAAGAAACAGGGGCAGAGCTAGTAAGGGTCCAGCGAGTTCATCCTTCGGCAGATAATTACACATGGTGAAAATTATTTTCTAATGTACATTTACATATATATAGTAGATATTGAACCCTCTTCAACTTCTTCATAATTTGAACCCTTAATGAAAATTTTGACTCCGCAGTGTTGAGAAGTCAAGAGTATCTTTCTCCAACCTGACAGACCAGTTCCTATGTCTTTCAAATGCACTAGGAATATCGATTTCCAATACTAATTCGTTTCCAGCAACCTAAGCAACTTATACCTGGACCAGATACTATACATACTGCTCCGTATTCAACTCAAAATGCCTATCCTAACCTAACAAACAAACCCTTCTCCATTAAATCAATGAAATGATAAAAACAACAGCATTAACAACTACTGTGCTAACTATGAACAACAGCAAGATTTACTCGTGCCACCGGAAAAAAAATCTCAGCAAATCACATGCCTCCAAAGAGAAATTATACCTAATTTCATCCTCATTCTGACGCCCCTCAGACTGATAATCACCAGTTTCACCGCTGTCACTTCCGGAACTCGAACTGTTCCAACCTCCAGCAGCGTTTCTCTGCTCGGAATTCAAAATTGGAGATGAATCGCTAAGCTGAATTCGGCGTCTATACTCAACGCAAACACAAACCATGTGAAGCAAACACTGTAAAGCATATCCAACAATCCAAAGCCTCAAAGGCATAGAAGGTAACTCATCATGGCTCAGAATCAACACAGAAACTGAGACAATCACAAAAGCTAAGTTCCAGATAAGATCCAATATCACTATAGGTTTGGAATATGCCCAATCGCTTTGTCGTTCCTCTATGTGCTCAGCTGCAGCTTCCCTCACGCGCCTTGACGGCTCCCGCATCAGTCGGTGGTTACTTGCTCGCCGGAGAAATCGAGCCGCTCCTCTTAGGGTCGGGGCCCGGCGCGCCAACCGTCGGCTCCTAAAAACCTGATCGGTAAGCAACGGAGTCGTATCTACACCATTAGAACTATCGTCATTACCGGCTCTCGCCGTCGACATCGTCACCAGAATATAAAATTGACCGAGAAAGGATCGACGGTGAACTATTGTAATTTAGAAAATTTTGAGAAAGAAGAAATTCAAAGTTCTGGATGAAAGTACTAAAATTATACTGTTTATTTATATATATATATGTCGGATTTTTACCTGGTATCTATCGAGTATAGTTATAGAAATGAAATGTACTCTCTAGACCTACAATGTTACTTCCCATCTGTCGACCTGTCATTTGCGAAAATAATAATAATAATTAAAAACACTTACCCGCCACGTTTTTTTTTCTTTTTATTTGTCATTTGATTTCTTCGACTTTTGGAACTCTACGATATTCTATTCACTAGTTGACTACTACTTCCCAAATCAAGCAAAATTATAATATGTACGTCTTACTTGATAGTAAATAATTTCTTACTATTTAATATTATATAATTAAAAAATTATATTAATTCTTGTTTTAGTGTATCACTAAATATAACATGGAATTTGATTGACATAATTAATTTAGAAGATAAATGAAAACTTGACTTAAGTGAATTTTATTGTTCTTTTAATAGAAAGTCGATAAAATTTTAAGAAAATTGAAAGGTGAATTTATATGAAGTATGAAGGAAAGGGACCGTTATCTTTATTTTTTTTTTGCACGAAATTTATAATAGAATTTTAAAAGAAAATTAATGTTATTTCTTATTAATTTTTTATTTTTTCGCAATAGATGAAAAACTCCGTCGATTTATAAAATTATAATTAAAAAGTATAAATAAAAGCGACACAAAAATTTCATGAGATAGCATGTGTAGTGTTTAAGTGATACATAGAATTGTCCAAAGACGTGAAAAATAGAGAAGTAAACATTGGATGAAAAATTATTAATCACCTTTAATTTTAAGGAGATTAGTAGGTGTTATTTACAAATATAAAATTTTGAACCATGAAAGTCAAGACAAGAAAAAGGTGCTCAGCCCTCCACGTTTTTAGGAATTCCAATCCGATGTTAGAACGGCCTCAGTACGATTTTAAAAAATTTGATTTCGTAGCTTTGCGGGAAACTACGGTTAAAGAGATATTATATTGACTAGTCCGACATTATAGCACATATTTTTAAATTTTAAATATTAAAAGAGTCCTCTCTAAAAACACTCATCAAAACAGACAATTTACTTTTTATAAAGAAAGAACTCTCATTTTATTACATTATAGTCTCCGTTGACTCCAATCATCCAAACCAATATTACACCATTTTGAGAACAACCGTTGATCTTAGCTGTCCAAGTAACATGATTTTTTCTACGAGACATAATTTAGAAAATACACTCAGCCTCCAAGACACGCTTAGGCTTCGCATACATATCAATAAGACCAGTCACTACAAAAACTTTGTTCATATAAAAAAAACAAGTCTTCAGAGCATACCCATTTATCTGTTCATGTGAGGAGGAAGATATATATATTCTGATAAAGGTTAATAAAAAAATTGTAGTTTGTTCATAAATAGGTGAATTATTTTTAAGATTTGTGTAATATTGGTTTGGGTTAATTTGAAATTAACAGAGACTATATAGTTAAAAGATGGTAGGTTTCCAATTCATATCCTTTTTTAGAGGTATGGATTGGAGATGTGGAAGATACATTGGTCGAAGCTTCTTTCAAGGAGTTTTCATTTTTTCAAGAACTTCACAGACACTATTAATATCTATAAGTTGTAATTCATTCATAATTAAAGGGTGAATAGTTCATTTTGATGCATGTTTTTAGAGAGGGCCTCTTTTGATACTTAAAGTTCAAAAAGTGTAGTGTTATTATTCGAGTTGAATTTAAGCTTGCATAATTTATTTTCGGATGACCAAAGTTACAAATTAGACTTAAAATTTTGAAATTTTGGATGAGCCGAGGTGCAAGACTTTATTGTATGTTTGTTACCATCTACATAATTAATTAATTCAAACATTTTGGTACATAGTACTATCTGTCAACTTTATAATGTGACAGAAGGAGTTTTTTTTTTACAATGAGGGGACTTGGACGTGTTATGTATTTCGACGAAGTTAAGTTTCTTTGTCTTCCATTACTTGTTTATTCATTTTTTGTTTGCTCCAACAACTTCCAAAGTTCATGTCAATTAAATAATCGATTCTTTTTCAATCATGGCGCTATTATTTGGATGACAGACTTCTTATGGTTCTGATACCAAATAATGCAAATGCATTGTTGTCCAATCAAAACGAATTTAGATTTTATAATTTATGAATTTAATTTTTAAATTATTTAAGATTACTTAGTTTTAGATTAAAAATTTATATTTAATTTTAAAAATAGAGAAAAAAAATTATACAATTTCGCATGGACTCTTAATTCACTGTGATCGCCAAAGATAAAAATATTGAAAAAAAAATACAATACACTGTAAGGGGCAGGATCTAAAGCCTACTTGAGATCAAGAGTATTTGTGTAATTGAAAGGAATGACAGTCTTTAAAGGGTTTGAATTGACTTATTTTTAAATAATTTTGATATGTAAGTCACTTTTAATTTTTAGAAATCTTGACAAAGACGAAATACTTATAAATACTTTAATCTTAAAACGACACTTTTCACTTTTTGATTTTACTTGAGGCTTATCCAAACTCCCTTATGTTTAAATTTAAGTCGAAAGTGATTAAGTAATTGCACCAAGATAACACGAGTTAATTTGAAGGTTGCAAATCCAAAATTTTTACTCCCCGCTTTTAATTGTGATAATTTTTATTTTTAGAATCAAATTATAAATTTTTTGATAATATTGATATGCAAAAAAATTAAAATTAATAATAGAAAAGGAATAAATATAGTGATAATTTAATTTTCATAAAGTTTTTGAATATTTAAATATTTTGTTTAAAATATCGATATAATATAATCTAATTTAATTTTAAAAATTCGTCAAGTTGACTTTTGAAAAAAGTAACATGAAAAATAAAAATTAACGAACTAATACGAGACAAAAGTATGCCAATTCTAAACATGATATGAACAAATTAATTTTCCTAATGAAAATTTTATGTTCATATTAGCAGTATCATCATATGTCTGTGCAACTTCATCGCACGATTCAAACTTTTGCAAGTTCTATCATACGAAAACCAAAATGTTCTTTAATTGACAAAAATAAAAAACTGAATGAGTTGTCAAAACTGGGTCAAACAGATGAAGCACGAAAGTTGTTTGATAAAATGCCTGAGAGAGACGAATTTACATGGACTACAATGGTTGCGGCATATGCAAATGGAGGGAGGCTTGTTGAAGCAAGGCAAGTGTTCCAGGAGGTCCCAACTAAGAGTTCAATTACTTGGTCTTCTCTTATTTGTGGATACTGTAAGCATGGTTTTGAAATTGAAGGATTTGAATTGTTTTGGCAAATGCAAAGTGAGGGACATATGCCTAGTCAGTTTACATTGGGAAGTATTTTGAGAATGTGTGCGATAAAGGGTTTGCTTTCGAGAGGTGAACAGATACATGGATATGCTATTAAGACTTGTTTTGATATAAATGTTTTTGTAATGACTGGACTTATTGATATGTATGCGAAGTCTAAGCGTGTCTTGGAGGCTGAGTGTATTTTCCAAATAATGTCTCATGGGAAAAATCATGTTACTTGGACTGCTATGATTAATGGTTATTCTTTAAATGGTGATGCATTAAGAGCAATTCAGTGTTTTAGCAACATGCGTGCAGAAGGGATTGAGGCAAATCAGTACACATTTCCAGGTGTTTTGAGTTCATGTGCTGCACTCTCTGATATTAGATTTGGGGTGCAGGTACATGGTTGTATTGTTAACGGTGGTTTTGAGGCCAACGTGTTTGTTCAAAGCTCGTTAATCGACATGTATTGTAAATGTGAGGATTTGCACAGTGCTAAGAAAGCATTGAAACAGATGGAGGTAAATCATGCAGTTTCTTGGAATTCCATGATACTTGGGTACGTGAGGAATGGATTACCAGAGGAGGCACTGTCTCTGTTCGAAAAGATGTATGCTAGTGATATGGAAGTGGATGAGTTTACTTACCCTTCGGTTCTGAATTCCCTTGCTTGTATGCAGGATACCAAAAATGGGATATGTCTTCACTGCTTGGTTGTTAAAACTGGATATGAGAGCTACAAGCTTGTAAGCAATGCACTTATTGATATGTATGCCAAACAGGAAGACCTAACTTGTGCGATTAATGTTTTCAACAGCATGGTTGAGAAGGATGTAATCTCATGGACATCACTTGTCACTGGTTGTGCTCACAATGGCTTTTATGAAGAAGCTCTGAAATTATTCTATGAGATGAGAATGGCTGAAACTAAACCAGACCAAATTATCATTGCTAGTGTTCTAAGTTCTTGCTCAGAGTTGGCACTACTTGAACTTGGGCAGCAAGTTCATGGGGATTTTATTAAATCTGGCCTTGAGGCATCATTATCAGTTGATAATTCTCTTATGACAATGTATGCCAATTGTGGGTGCCTTGAAGATGCCAAAAAAGTATTTAACTCAATGCAAATGCATAATGTGATCAGTTGGACTGCTCTCATAGTAGCTTATGCCCAGAATGGCAAAGGAAAGGAGTCCCTGAGATTTTATGAGGAGATGATTGCAAGTGGAATAGAACCTGACTTTATTACATTTATAGGACTATTATTTGCCTGCAGCCATACAGGTCTCGTTGACGATGGAAAGAAGTACTTCGCTTCAATGAAGAAAGATTATGGCATAAGACCAAGCCCTGATCACTATGCATGCATGATTGATCTTTTGGGTCGTGCGGGGAAAATACAGGAGGCTGAGAAGTTAGTTAATGAAATGGATATTGAACCTGATGCTACTGTGTGGAAAGCGTTGCTTGCTGCATGTAGAGTACATGGGAACACAGATCTAGCAGAGAAAGCTTCAATGGCCCTCTTTCAGCTGGAACCACAAGATGCTGTTCCGTATGTTATGTTGTCAAATATCTATTCTGCTGCTGGAAAATGGGAAAATGCAGCAAAACTTAGAAGAAAAATGAATTTGAAGGGTTTAAACAAAGAGCCTGGTTATAGTTGGATTGAGATGAATGGAGTGGTGCACACATTTATATCTGAGGAAAGAAGTCATACAAAGAGTGATGAAATTTACTCAAAACTTGAGGATGTTATTGCATTGATAAAGGAAGCTGGATATGTGGCAGACACAAATTTTTCTCTCCATGATATCAATGAAGAAGGAAGGGAACGAAGTCTTTCTTATCACAGTGAGAAGTTGGCTATTTCATTTGGGCTTCTTTATGTGCCAAAAGGAGTACCAATTCGGATTTACAAGAACCTTCGTGTATGTGGCGACTGCCACAATGCAATGAAATTTGTGTCAAGAGTTTTTGATCGACATATTATTTTGCGAGATTCAAATTGTTTTCATCATTTTAAGGAAGAGATATGTTCTTGTGGGGATTATTGGTAGAAAACACTCCTTTAATTTTTTGTGGCTCCTGTTTCCTTTGCGCTTGGATAGATCAAAACATTCAATTTCATGGATTGGGTTTGCAGCTCATCACAAGGTTTACAGTTCACATCTGTATATTACTAACTGCTAACAATGCAAATCATTTATTGGAAAATGGAAATTAAAAGTAAAAAGTTTTATGCAGCTCAATGTGAATGATAAGAATGATTGGAAATGATTGCTCTCTGAGGCTTATACGAGAGTTGATTCCCTAGTCCTTATTCCACAGCACTCTCCCATGGCAGGCACCAATTGCCACTCCCCGGCATCAGGGAGATAACTGGTCTCATTTTGAGAAATATTTTTGTCTCCGTGAAGTCAGGGTCTGATGATCCTGGAGAAAGCTACGTTCTACATGATCATTTGATGAGTTTTCCTACACAGGTGTGAAACCATCTTCAGATTCTTTTAACAATAATTTTGCTTGGAGTTACTGTTTTTTCATATCCTGATATCCTCTCTGCAGTTAAAGTTGGGAATTATATCCTGTTCAGTAGACAAATTACCCAACCAGAATATACGTACCTGAATGTTCATGTGATAGATAAGTCCATACTAGTACTTCTGTCTTGTGAATATCTGTGTGTTGCCTTGTGAGTAAGGATATTCATTGCTCCAATGCAAAACCATTATGTCATTGTCTTAGGGAGCTTTCTGTTGTTTGTATGGCATGAAAAGTTAATCCTAAAAGAAAGGTAAAGTAAAGGTGCATCCTAGGTTAGTATAATGTTCTGAAGGCAAAGATGTTTTTCTTTTGATTTAAACTTATGTTTTTTTTTCTTTGATTCCGTCTCCTTCCCTAATAGCAAAAACTGGGAAGTTGAAACTACGTTATAACTGGACAACCTCATAAATGAAAAAGATGGTAAATAATGTCATTTCTGGGGTGGGGTAATTTTCCTTAGATGAGTGTGATACTGTTGTACCTGTTGCTTGAACTCCTAAGTTTCCTCATTTTCTTCCTTTTTGTTTATGCTAAATGCCGTGTGTACTGTGTTCAATGATGCTGATCCTTTTAGTTGTATTGCCATGTTAAAAAAATGTTTTTGCTTCTGACGGTGCAGGCTCTTCTAATTTACTGATTCTCCTGAAAGTAGAGTTCTGTAGTGAAGCATCTTTATAACTCTACAGGTTCTTGCTAGCTGTTTGGTGTAAATGAAGAAAAAATTGATGGAAAATGGCATTCATTGAATAATGGTTTTGATGAAAGAAGAAATATAAGCTGGTAGTGATAAATGGATGAAATTTTCATAAGATTGAGGTAATTCTGTGTACTTCCAAAAAGAAGCATGTAATGCAATTTTGAGTGCAAATACACTTGTAAAACTAAATTGTAAGTGGGTCATTGGTTAAAAGATTTAAGATCTAAAAGATGAATCATATGTTTTGGCAAAAAAATTCAGTGGCTTTTTGCTTGATATCATTTGATCAAACGTAAAAATTACTGGGGCCTTAAGTAGGTGTGCACCGCCAGCTTTATGACTCTTCAGCAATGCAAAATTATGCAATGACCATCTCTTGAATAAGAAATTACAATCTACTCGTTTGCCCTTTCTTTCCAAGGATGCCTGTGTTTTTTTCTAGACGAAGTGGATGATGGTTGTATTTCAGAAGTCTAGATATCTTACTTTCATATTTATATATCTCTTAATGTCTTGTCAATAAATTGGTTGATGTTCTGCTTTTGAATGGATGCTGTTTTTTTAAATAATTAATTCAGTTCTATCAAGTCCATTCACAAATTTCTTGTTCTTAATGCAAAAGTTTAAGAACTTCTGCAAGTTTGATAACTTTACTTTTGCTTACAGGAACTTGTAGCTATCCCACCGCCAGTCTGTTTCTCTGTTGCAAGCATATGGTAATATTTCATATACCTGTGCTCATTGCCTAATTAGAAGCATATGACAAGAGCATAATACTTCATAAAGTCTATTGTTCATTGCATGCCTTAGGTTGTATGGACCAGAAGAGAAGCACATGTTATTGAATAAAGTATGTTCATCATTCCCAAGTCCTCTATGACATCAGAGCCCTTACCATTGAAGTCAATGAACCTTTCCTATTATGGGTGCAAGCATGGTGTGCCATTACTACACACATTTCTTGGAACCATCCCCTACAGAATGGATGAAACAAAACACAAAAAAGCTGATAATGTTCTCGATGGAGGCAGGAATTAGCGATCAGGATCTCCAACAAGACTATGGGACAGGTTTGAAAGGCACATTCTCTTTTGTTTGATACGGGATACTCAACTTGTTACTTGGCAAGAAATTTTAAAATAGGTAACCACAAAAAAAAAACAAGCCAATTGATAGATCAATTAGAATGTCATAATGTCGTTGTGATGGTTATATCTGTGATGGCTCTCATTGTATAGATCAAATAGGTGTCTATTGCCAATTCACAAACCATCTATACCACATGCGTAGTACATTTTGCAGTTGCCAATAAGTAAATAAACCTATCTTGATTGTCTTTATTTATTGAATAGAGATGCAATCTCCCTGGTTCAAATTAGCTGTGATCACAGGACCACAAAGTTGTACTTATTTAGGTGCTGATTTTTATAAAAGAAATTGTACTTGATGTTAGTGCTTTCAATCATCAATTCATGGCTACGATTGATCTTAAATTGATGGATGAAAAAACTGTACCCAAAACACTGATGATTTGTTAATTAGTTATTGATGCTCAAATGTCATAAAGTTGCCCTCGATCATCTATAATCTATAAAATGTGGCTTGGCGTTTGATGAAGTGATATTTTTTTTTTACAGAGTGAAAATGTCAAACTTAATTGAGTTATTTCTATCCACATTTTATCTGGAAGTGCTTCACGCTCTAGAGTTCAACTATTAACTTAATATGAATATAATTAGCATGATGCAATTTCACATTTCTATAGGGCAACCAGAAGACATGAAATGTTATACTTTAACGAATATAAAACTCCTAATCATTCATCTATAACTCCAAGTTTGGGAGCACTCATTAATCTTATGAATACCCCTCAAACTAGATATTGCTTGCTAAAAGGTATAAATTAACAGATGAAAACTCTCATCTAAAACTACTGGGGTACTGAACATAATATGTTTATAAAGACGAGAGACACTGCGATAAATCACCCGCAAATCTTACTGTCATATCCGTCATCCGAAACCAACTAGCAAGTAACTAGCTCCCATGTTATGATGTTGTATTCCATCAAATATTACTAAGGCCAAGAAAGCAGCTGCATTTGCTGGAGCAACATAACGCTGATTGGGCAACTACACCTCTCAAGAAAAACCCATTTACAAAGCCTAAGCAACTGTCTTCACAAAATTCACTTGCGCAAGTGTTCAGGAATAAGGCGCTTTCGCAGTTCAGCAGGCACGCCAGAGAGCTCTGTATAAGACAGACTAATCAGATTGACGTATCAAATCATGTGAAATAAAAGGAAAAACTAAACTGAAGCTCACCTTGAGGTGAAAAGTTGAATAGGGGAGGCAGAGGTCGCCCATTTGGCAAGCAAGCATTTGGTTCCCTTAAAGAATCAAAGAAAGGGTGTGCACATGCTTCCAACTGTCAATAAACACAAAATGTTCTCAATATCCCCGGAAAACAGAAGTGCTAAAAGGACAATCAATGAGAACTCGCATATTGAAACATAACAAAATTGGAACACCATGTTTGAATGATGGGTAAAATGGGAAACTACCAGAATATCCTAAATACTTGATAATTGAGAAGAAAACTTTTTACTTACAGCAGTGCAGCGTAGAGTTGGAGAATATTGGAGAAGCCTCGACACCAAATCAACTGCTTCAGGGGGCATTCTTTTATGAAATATCTGCAGATTGCAATCTCATTAAGATTTGGTATGCTTGCATTGTGTTTTGGCATGTGATTGAGCAATTTGAAAGGACAGTTTTCAACAAAATTCATCAAGGGAAGGATGGAAATAATTTAACTACTAGTGAAGCAGCCACATCCACAGAGTGAGTTTTCACTAACCTTGTGCCATGGGTGAGCTTTGATCTGGGGAAACTTGAACTCTGTGTAATTTGGATTCATGCACCTAATCTCCTCTCTTGTTGGTGTCCCCAATATCTGGCAAGCACAAAGTACACCAAAACGGTTAGCAAGAGAAAGCAACCAACTTGACTAGAGAATTATCACCCGACGTAAACTATTTTAGAGTCCCTTGATTTCTTACCTTGATGATTTCGACCAGCTGATCAACGCCACTTTCTCCAGGGAAAAGAGGCTGCAGATAATACATCACTAAAATGTCAGAGACTAGTGGATTCAAGTCTACAAACAGTGCAATCTCACCAGATTATATATTTCTATTTAATTATTATTTCTTTGAATCTTCTAAATAAGAAAATTTGATTGCTCAGAAGGAATTTATCTTAACACCATTAATGGAATCTAACTTGAAACAGAAACAGTGAAAAGTGAAACGCAAAAAATTCTAGAGATTACATCACCACCAATGAAAAGAATAGGACCATGAATTGTGATTATAAGTATCAACTAACCTGTCCCAAAAGTAGCTCAGCCATAACGCAACCAGCAGACCACATGTCAATTGCAGTTGTGTACTCAGTAGCACCAAAGATCAATTCAGGAGCCCGATAATAACGAGAACAAATGTATGATATGTTGGGCTCTCCAGGCACCTAGAAAAAACAAAGGTTAAAATATTAGGGACTGCTTAATTGTAAAGGGAAAAAAGAATTCTTCTTTAAAAAAGAATCAACACGTACCAACATCTTTGCACTACCAAAATCACAGAGCTTTAGCTGATGCGAGTGGGGATTAACCTTCAGAAGTTAAATAAGCATAAAATAGTCAGGTCAAATAGAGGAGAGGTGAAGAGAAAAGACATAACTCCACTTAACCGCACTACAGGGGTTGCTCAAAATATTTCAAGTCATTTTGGCATGCAAATGAAAGATCTAAAAAAAGCATATTCTGTGGGAAAATTGAGTGCTCACCAAAAGATTCTGTGGTTTAATATCACGATGGCATACACCAAGGACACCATGCATGTAATTCAGAGCACGGCATATCTGTAAAATTTATAATTTAGAGAAAATTCACAACTCTGTGCTCAAGATAGTTTACAAGACAAGTAATTTAAGTTGCTAGAATTTGAAACTCCACAATCTTGATGAGAAAAAATGAAGAATCCTGCAATAAGCTCACCTGGTATGTGTATAGCTGCACATATATATTGGGCATGTGTTGGTTCATTCTGCTGTAGTGCCTTGATACTCGGTAAACAGTTTCAGACACGTATTCCAGGACAAGGTTAAGGTAGACTTCATTCTTCTCAGTAGTAGAATAGAAGCAGTGTCGTAGTTTAACAACATTAGGATGATCAAGTGTGCGCATAATCTGAAGTTCCCTGTTCTTGTATCTCCTATCCTGTAAGACCTTCTTTATTGCAACAGATTCACCAGTTTCCAAGCACTTAGCCTGTGAAATAGAAAAGGTGATGAATAAATCAACAAAAGTCATCCAGACAACAGCAATGCTAACACACCAACCTAACATTATCAATAAACATTAGATGAACATACAACTATACCTGAAAGACAACTCCAAATGAACCAGTGCCAACCACGCGCTCCGCCATGTAAGACAATGTCTGTGAAAATAGCACAAGTCGACATCTGATTGAGCGAAGATAAAAGCCTATAAAACTATATTGGGGGTAAGGAGAAATTAGATTTCATTCAACTAGTTCACCTGTTTCTCTTGTCCATTCCTACCACTCACAGTAGTCACAATAATCTGACCAGTTTCTGTTCCATTTCCACTAACAACAGCAGGTTCCATATCCTACAGGATGCAAGATAGATCAGCCAGACAAATTTAAGAATTTAAAGACACAGCTACTTTACATACTAAATTTAACATAAAAGAGATAAAACTTGGGTATACCTTCAAATTATCATCTAGACTATCAGCTTTATCATCTTTTTCATCCTTAATTTTCATTTCATGCATTTCTTTAGGAAGTTCATCAAGTTCAGAATTTTCAAGTCTAATATCCATTGTTGAGGTACTTCCAGCAGTGGTTTCCATAGATGTAGAAGCCATGTCTTCCTTTGGAACTGTAGTAGTTGTACATCCCTCTTCCATTTGAGTTTCACCAACCACTCTTTGATCTACTTCTTTCTCAACCTTCACCCTCTTTATGCTTGAATCACCACCCTATTAAAAATAAATCATACTCTTTTCATGAATTACTCATAAATCTAATCAAAATACAACAAACAAAAACCAAGCTACATGTTTCCATTATAACTCCTATCATTGCATTACAAGTCCATACTCCATACTATCAAAATCTAGAACACAACAGCCAGATATTAACAGTCCTCGCCTACCCCAAGCCAAAATAAAGTTTGTTAAAATTATTAGTCACATGAGTAAATGATCCATCAAATAGCATCTACCTTCTTTAAAGCCCAAACTCTTTAAAGCCTCACTTTTTATAGCATAACTCGCACATATTTAGAGCTAAAATGGTGAAAATCTAACCATTAAAGAAGCATTCAACACATTTTTTTCAACTACCCCAAAATAAAGTCAACAAAAAAACCTAAGAATTTAAATTCCCAAATTCAAAAACACTACATCTTTTATGTCTTTGATTTACAAATCATAATCAGAAGAAAAAAACCCATTAATTTCTCTCAGTTTCCTTAAATTTGTCAACTGCAGTGGTTCAGACACTACGAATCACTTCTCTCCATTCACCTTATAGACCCATTTTAGCAACAAAAAGAAAATTAAATATAAATCAATCATAAAGTATCTGGGTTTTACACCCATATGGAGAGAAAGAAAAAAGGAAAATTACAGGATCTGAAACAGAAGAACGTCCAGAAGCAATGCTCTTAAGGCGACGCATGACATTCATCTCTGCTTCGCCAAGAGCCCAAAAGAAAAACCCCTCTGAGCGGTCCTTGAAAATTTTTCGAGAGTAATTGATAAGTCCTTCTCTTCTTCCTCAAACACCTGAAAAGTATTTTTCTTCAATGGTGAAGATGGAGGAGGGAGAGAGAAAGAGAGAAAAACAAACAAGATAGAGAAATTAGACTTTGAAATGCCAAATTGAGAAAATATGACAACATAAAGCCTCTTCCCACTCTCTCTCCTCTCCTTTTATCATAAAAATAAAAATAAATCCAAAAACCAAAAAGCATGATAACAGTCTAGCATTTATATTTTTATTTATTTCACTTTTGACTAAAAAAAAACTAAAATTTCTAAGGAAACTACAATATATTGTTTTACTAAAATTATATTTTTTTCGTTTTAAAAAAAAATAACCCTTTTTAGTATATTTTTAAAAAAATGATACTTTTTTTTAAAATAACTTTTCACGTGATATGTTTAAAAGTCACAAGATTAAATGATAATTTTGTACATTAAACATAACTTTGATTTAGGACAACATGATCAAAAGTCTTATTTATTTTCTTAAATTTCGTGTCAAGTCAAACTAGATCATTCTTTATGAAACGGAGAAAGTAACATGTTTGAAAACATATAATTTATTTCTCTTATTTATTATTCTTTACCTTAATTTAAAAGGGTATGTTATTATTAATGTTTCATTCCTTTTAATTCAAACATTCTCATATATATATTTATTATTACAAGATCTAAAAATATATATCTATTTTCATTTAAGATTATTTTTTCTTAATTATATAAATCAACACACTTAAAATATAAAGAAAGTAAATTTCATGTAATTCAAAAATACATATATATACCTTATAAAAATTAATAATTTTAATTGATCAACTATATAAATTTTCATTTTATCTCGCGATAATTCGATTCTCAAAATTCACTCAAGCATATATAGGATAGCGCAATATTTCTTCTTTTTAATATTAGGGAATGAAATTGTAAATAAACAAATAAAAATTCCAAAATAAAAAGGGGAAAAAACGACAAAAGGGAAATCTCTCTCTATTTTTTTAAAAAAATTCAAATTATAACTGGTCAAAGTCATGACCGAAAGCCCAATCATTCCTGTCTGCATATTTTTTCGTACTTGCAGTCAAACTTTAATTTCGTACCGTTGATTCAACATCATGCTGAATCGAACGGTGGCTAAATCAGTAGTTTATTGAAATGACGATAATATCCTTAGCGTGGAAAGGGATTTACGAGGGGGCGTGCGATTTGAGACAATAATTATGCCAGCGGAATATTCGCGGGGGTCTTTTTGTCTAACAGTTTGACTAGTCCTTATCCTTTTCGCGGTTAGTTTATGACTTTGAATTTTTATTTTTTACATTCACATCCATTGGTTAGAAAAAGAAACAAAGGATCCAATGAACCAATGTGTACAAAACAACCTATATTTATCTTGGGAAAAAACCATTTAATACAATCACCCAAAGAAAATATAATGAATAAGGTACGTTACTTGAGTCCATGGTCAAGTGTGGAAGGAGTTTTTATCTTCAAAAAGTTTTTATGTACGTATATGTTTAGATTTTATCGAATATATTATTATCAAAGTGAAAAAAGATATATTTTTATTACAATTGATTGTGCAACATCCTTCCCCATTTCAACCGCATCACCTATTACGCACAGTGACGGAGTCAGTATTTTTAATAAAGGGTTCAAAATATCTAGAAATAAACAGATGAAGTAGTCAAAGCATGTTCGACATATACTATACATGTACATGAAACATTGTTTTAACCATCTATAAATAAGATAATTTTTTTGCCGAAGAGGGTTCGAATGAACCCCTTCAATATAAGGTGGCTCCGCCCCTGCCACATAATCTGCCTAAATGCCCTTGATCGACAAAGTACTCTACCTAAGATCGTTTGATTTGAGACCTTTGCTTAGTACTCAACACCAACCCAACCCTAATGTATGATTTGACACACCGTTTATGACAACTTAAATCAAGGCTCGGTCTAGAGACCCAAGATTTGACCAAGTTACGAATTAGTATTAGGGCAACATCTTAGTTTGTTACTCGAGGGTCAGGTTAAGTCTTGGGAATCAGGATCAATGTTGAGTTTGAGGGTCGAATCTTGATTCTTGAGTAAGGGCAAAGTTTGAATTGGATCTCAGGTAAGGTGGAGTTGAAAATAAATCTCGGGATCTCAATGTTTGTCTCGAGGGTCAAGGTCAAGGTAGGGGTAATTGGTTATCAAGTTTAAGGTTGGGTTTTTTAGGACCCAATGCCTTAAGGTTTAGGGTCAAGTTTGAAGGTTGGGTCTCGGGATGGGGGTCAGGGTCTCGAGTAAGGGGACAATTTATTTGTAAGGTCAAGTTAGGGTTAAATCTCAAGGTCGGGATTTCCGGGATCTAATTAAGCTAGTAGGTCGAGGTTAGGGTCTGATCTTTGGTCTCAAAATCGAGAAATCTAGTTTGATCCCGAGGGTCAAGTTTTGGTCTTGAGTTTTAACTCAATGTTGGGATCAACTATTATATTAGGGTGAAGGTCATGTTTTTAGGTAAATATTGGAGCCAAGACCCAAGTTGGTGTCAGTTCAAATGTAGGCTGACTTTCATTAAGAGTGTCAATGGTTATAGTAAAAAAAAATTTATAAAAGGCTAGCATGGCTTGATCACATGACCTCCTGGAGTGTTTGCAATTCCTAACCAATAGTCTACCAACTTGTTTCAAGAGGTGTCAATTTATGTATTTATATTTATTGATAAATTAAAATTTGATCACTATATACAACGTAATTTTCTGCGAAGAGGTGTCGCATTGACATCCCTTGACCAAGTGTAGGTCCGCCATTGAGTCGACATAGGATAATACTTCTCATCATTTCATCCCTTTTTTTTTATATCTATCTCATCTTTCTCGGATACTTCACAAAGGAATAAACACTACTCTCTCCGTCCGGTATTGTTTGTCATGGTTTCTATTTTTTAGAGTCAAACTATAAAAATTTTGACTAACATTTTAAGATGCATTTTTTCATTATATTAATATGAATAAAGTTGTAATTTATACTACTTTTCATATAGTTTTAGAATATCTAATTTTTTGTTTAAAATATCGAATTAATTGATCTAATTATTTATCTTTGAAAAATAGTCAAATTAACTTTCGATAAGCGAAACATGACAAATATTTCTGAACGAAAGGATTATTATTTATAGGTGAAAAGTATGTCTTATTAATAATGAATAGAATGAGGGGTAGTAATGTGAGTATGTAATTGTGATAGATGTTACACAAGTTACAAGAAACTAATGAACATGAAAGTTGCAAATTTCAAATTTGACAATTTAAGTTCATTGTCTCGTTTTCATCAATCAATACTTCTAGTGATGAAATCAAAAATTTTGTCAAGAGTGTCTAAGATTTAATATGTATGTATGAAGATTTTTATATATATGCTATATTACAATGTTATGGCGAAGAGTGTTTGATTATTCACCTTGACTTGTATATTACTTTACGACTGAATGCCTCCAACTCTCGACCTTTGACCATCCACCCTTAAACCCCTACTCCCCACCTCATATTTGGTTTCTCGATTGTCACATAAAAATTTTCAAGATAATACTTTTTATTAACTTACTAAATAATGACTTTATTTTTGAAATAAAAATATTTTTCTTTGTACTAAACACCCTAAATTAGAATGAACGTTTATGTTTAAATATTTTTTTTTGTAATATTCAACAAATCTAAGACATATTAAGAAATAGTCCCTTTTTTGCCCTTCATTTTTTCTTTCTCTAGTGGTTGAGAGGTGGCAATGAAGAGTTTGTACTTGGGAACCACTAAGCTTGTTTGTTCAAAATCTGAGGGTCTCGACAACAAGTATATCATATTCTAATGACAATTAATTAAATGATAAATTTCAATATAATATAAGATTGATATCAAATAAGTAAGTTGCATGAAATGAAATATATGAATTTATTAAGCGATTAGCTAACTTTTAATGTACGTTCTCAAGAGGATTATGACCAACTGTTCTTATTAAAAGGGATATGATATATTTCATGAATATACTATTAAGATTCTTCAAATTTAATTTAAGAGCCTCATAATCTATACCGTAGATTTTCGCAATCATCACATAAATATTTTCAAACTTCTTTACATTTGAAAAAAATATAATTACATGGAATGAAACATGATTCAGCTCAAGAATGATTTATTATTAGACTTATATGTAATGGCAGTTACGTTTACGGAAAGAACATAAAATAGTTTTAAAACTTAATATTCTTTTTCAATTAGTATACTAATAAAAATTTAAAATGTTAGCTAGTGTTTGACCGTAGAATATATGGATTAGATTATAAAATTTATCTTTAATTATACGTTATGTCAAATTAGTTTTCAGGTATTAGTGGAATTTTCACTTACAAAATTTTAATTGAAAATAAAATATATATTTTAACACAAATTAAATTTTAAAAACTTATATTTTCACATCCAAAATGTATGAATTTAAGAAATTAGCTTCCATCGGTAAATAATAAGACATATACAAACCAATAATGTTTGCCTTCAATGTCATCTTAAGTAGGTGATGTTAACATTAAGGTAGTTGAAATTTGAAATACGAAAAGCTTGACTTTTTAAAAAACAATCTATTTCTTTGAATTGAGCCAAAATATTGTGACATTCTTTACCAAATATTTAAAGAACAGACAAATAAAATATTTGAATGACCAATAATGTAGCATCCAAAATATTCTCATTTTTGTTAACTTAGAACTTACACATAGTCACATGCATATTTTTTCGTATCACCAATTACGTGATATTTTTCATCTTCAAAATTCAGATTTTTCAATTTTGATTTGAAGTATTTATTTTTAAAAATTGATAAAATATCATCTTATTCACTGTTATTTAAAAAAAAAATTATCAAACAAATGCAACAAAATAAATTTTTTCCTCTTCTTTTTCGAAGTCTTATAAAATTTCAAGAGTTATATAAATGAATACTTCGATAAATTGAATGTATGGTCACGCAGTGCAACTTGGTTTACTGGGATCCTCTCATGATAGTACACATATTTCACATGTTCAAAAACACCTATTCTTTTAAAATGTGTTTTTTTCATCATGAGAAAAGATGATAATTTACTAATATTTTAATATAATTTTTAAATATATAAATTTTAAAATAGAAATTGATCTATCTTATTTAACTTT